CAACTATTTTTGATGCAGAACTTATTGCCTTTGAATACGCCATAAGATGGGCTAATGAGGAAGAAAATGAGAACTATATTACAAATTGGGAGATTTCGGTGTTCACAGATTCCCAGAGCATACTTAGAGCTCTTAATTCTAGAAAATGTTTATCTACAAAAATAGATAAAGTCAGAAATTATATTCACAATATTAATTCAAAAATGAAATTACATATAAATTGGATAAAAGGACATTCGAATATTTATGGAAATGAAGCAGCAGATTCTGCTGCTAAGGAAGCATGCTATAATACAGATATTGATATCACGGTTCCTTTATCTCTTAATTATATTAAGAGTGTACTACATGACAAGATTCTCCACACATGGCAACAAAGATGGCATTATGACAAAACTGGACGAAAGGTTTATAAAATATTTCCTGTTGTCAAAGAGCAAAGATTAAGTTACAATAGATTGCTAAATCAATTGATAACAGGACATGGCCAATTTCCAGAATATCTAAAAAGGTTTCATGGGAAAGATATTCATTGCCGATGTGGTCAGGATGCATCTGGAGCATCTAATGGACATTACATTTGGGACTGTGCCTTAACGAAGGAAATTAGAGGAGAATATTTTCGAAATATATCTATAAATAATGAAAAATATCTATATAGCAATAATAAAGCTGAATTAGGACTTATAAAAATTATTACCAATTTGAATAATTATGTATATTTCGATCCTTTTGTTTAGTTGCTTAAATTTTTGAGTTGAATTGCATAAATTATAATGTAATTTGTATACATACAATGTATAATTTACTGAAAACTAAATGCTTATTGTTCGTTAAGCTAGGCAATATTTGTATTTTATAATTGTTGTTTAGGTTAGCAGTTGTCTTGAGTTCAATTTAGTCATTTTATATTAAGAAATAGGTGGTTTCTATTCTGAATGAAGGTAGAGATGACCCGTTGGCGGCGCCGACACATCTCCAGCGGAGGGTGAGTTTTTGGATAAGTAGTCCTTATTCTGTTGTAGTGTTTATCCAGTTATCTTTCAGTTTGTTTCTTTTAAATTGCCGGTTGTGCCAATTTCGGCGGTACGGCTTATTTTCTTAGATTAGATTAGATTACCTCTCTGTAATAGGAAAATAAGGTTTGAGAATGGGAAGAACTAACATTAAGTTCTTACTCTCCTCAAACCTCACTTTGCTACTTCTTTAACCATACAAATATTCGGTCTTTGCTAAACAAAGCGCGAAAAAAATATATCCAGCGCTCTGCAGTCTTATACGTTATGCCGACAATGCTACATGACTCCTCATAATTTAACAATAATTGCTGCTTTATTAATTTATTTGTAACATCCAGAAAATGCAGTAAACACGTTTCTTCAAGGTATATAACACAAAGTTAAATGTTGTTATGAAACTCAAAATTAGATAACGGATTAAATAGATGTTCAAACTTTAATTAAAATGATTTAATTCTTAAATTAAATGCGTTCTTTAAACTCAGCAGTTTTATTACTTTATTTTATACTATAAATAACAATTGAAGTTGAAATTCTTAAAGTTTTGATCATCATTATCATTGGTCGTGAAACTGCTTCTCAAATTTTCTTTGCTTTTGAGAAACCGAGCTCCGCTCAGAATGTAACACCTCTGAGCACTTTTTCTGTAGCCGATGCCCCAAGAAGATTTCTCTTTTGTTAACGTGGCAGATTTATGTGTCAGACCTTCCCTTCTTTTGTATCCCCTTACAAGGGAAACATCCCTTCCCCCTTCACAACAAAGTCGCAAAACGCACCCAACGGTTCTAATTGCTCCGTAATAGTGATATCCTTGAAGAACCCCACAAAGTGGAAAGTACACGTACTTACTTTCTGATTTCCAGAATTCAGCTATTCTGCTAAACGTTAATAGCCGTCGTTCCAAATTCTCTTTCAGTTACGAACTGACTTGCTGACGCTTGCAAGCGTTACATTGACAGAGTGTGAAAAGTAAGTTTCTAAATGTTTCCTTTATTCTACAAAAATTGATCAGAACTAAAAAAAAATTATCTCAGATATCTAAAAGACGGATTTAAAGGCAGAATAAATCAACGTATATTATCGGATTCGTCAGAAGATGAAGTAGTATTTAATTATGAAAAAGGACTGTGTCGAATTTTCGCGCTAGCAAATATTCTTTAAGTTCCATTTCAAACTGTGATTCGAAATATGAACTTTTATGTCTCAAGAAGAACTGACTGATGACGATTACCAAAACGATTATCCCGTTTTAAGGAATATTCCAAATATAGGACTAATAAATATTCCGTTAGACTTTATGTCCCTTGTGTGCTTAGGAGTAGTGAGTAGTACAAAAAATGATTACTATTAGGATAGGCGGAGGCACCTTACAAGCACGATTACCACATAAAAATGTTGAACTAATTTTTTTTTTTTTTTTTTTAATGACCAGTTTTTAAAGCCTTATGTACCAACTGAATTTGCAAGAAAACCAAGGAACCAACTCTAAACGAATTGAAACACTGGAAAGCTACAAAATACCGTTAATTTTTACTGTACACTAGCCTACTTATTTTTATTTATTTATTTTTTTTTAATTTAACAAAAAGCTATAATGATCATTTTTTACTACTACTTCATATTTCGATTAGACTCGTATACGTAAAATACAGAATCAGACGGCAATTGATGAATACGCACAGTCTCTATTAAAACTCTTCGTAGTAAATTTTGGGCTTTATTATGAAAAACAGTATATTGCTCATAATGTTCACGGCCTACTGCATATTTGCGAAGATGTAAAAATGTTTGGGCCGTTAGATAATGACAGTGCATTTAAATTTGAAAGCTATATAACTTCTATTAAAAAATTTATTAGAAAATTTACGCTCCATTACAGCAAATAGCAAGACGAACTCATGAACTGTTTAATCATATTGTAGCCATGAATAATGATTCAATCAACATAACCGACTTAAGTTCAGAATTTCAAAATTTACACACATCTGGTCCACTACTTAAAGGTTATTAAATGCTTAATTTTATTATTTAATTTTGAATACAAATTAACTGAAGTCAGAACTGAATTTGTAGAATAATTTAATTATGAATATATCGAAGAATTCAGTTTTGGGTTATTGAATGGTTAAAAATGATCGAAAGATTTTTAATACTTTAAAGCAAAATTTTCTCTTATAATATTTTGTATTAATAATTCATTTCAAGTCCCTTGCTCAGTTTTAGATATATTTACAAATTATTAAATAAATTGAAATTCAAATTGGAAAATAAATTGTATAAATATTCTTAACATTTCTTATTTTTCCATAGTAACCACAGATGGAAGACCTGAGACTGTCTGTGGAAAATAAGCAAGTTTCAAGTTATCACAACACCTTCACACACTTTCACTGGAATATAAAGAAGATTTCTGGAGATATACTGGGATGTAACATTAAGCAGTTGAGAGTATGTATTTAAGAGGTTAAAGGGATATTGTAACTAGTATTTCAAATCCTGATAACATCCCATACGCTGTCGGTGGGACCTAGATAGGATGTCCTAAGGATATACTTTAATGTGACATTAAGCACTAGGGAGGATGAGTTTAGGAGGAAACTGGGTTATTACGGGATGTCCTGAAAATGTAGTAAGTAGGACTTTAAATCCTAATAACATCCCATACGCTGTCGATGGGACATAGATAGGATGTTTTTAGGATATAATGGGGTGTGTTTAGGAGGTTAGTGGGATATCCCGGGATGTCCTGAGGATGTAATAAGTAGGAGTTCATATCCTAATAACATCCCGCACGCTGTCAATGGGACTTAGTTAGGATGTCCTGAGGATATCCCGGGATGTGACATTAAGCACTCGGGAGGAGGTGTTTAGGAGGTTCGCGGGATATTCCGGGATGTCCTGAGGATGTGCGCATATCCCGCGAGCAACATCCTCGGGATATCCCAAGGATGTTTTTGTGCTATGTGGGTTATATTTCCTTCTCCGTAATTCATTCGCAAAAAAACGCACTTGAGACTCAGAATAAGAACTTAAGAATATAAGAACTTAAAACACACAGTACGTTCAAAATGAGAAAGGAAAATAATAGAAGTTATAAACTTACCAAATTATGTGATTCAAATCTTATTTATTGCAACAACCTAAACTATTATGACACTTTGAATTGCACAAGAGGCCTTTGCTTTGACAACTGCATTTATTTGTGGAACACTTCCTTTTGGAATGGCAGCGTGTACATATAGTCCTCTCTTTTCGACCTACACCAGTCGACATATACCGGTGAGGGTCCGAATGTACAAGAATGTAAAGAAATATTCGATCTTTCACCGACGTATTTGGTGAATGTTGACATTCTCCGGTGAAAGTCGACATTCTCCAATTTCGGTCTTTCACGGTAACATATATAAGTAACAAGGATGCCATATCTTTTTTTTTTTTTTTAAGAAAGAGGCCTTTTAGATAAACGAGCATGCGAAAACGACCAGAACATGAAACTTGACGTTAACGACGAAACCATTTGGAGGTGCAGCGTTAAAAATTGCGAAAAGAAGAAGGGCATCCGTATTAGAAATTGGTTCAGCGGTTCGAGATTATCGTTCGTCACCCCTGTTCAATTTATGCATTTTTTGGCAGAGGAGTTGACGTCCATGAAATGGTGTAACAAATAGCTTAATATGTGTGAAAGTGCTGCAGTTGACTGGAACGATTACATGCGGTAAAATAATAAGAATAAGGATATGGAGACTGTTCTTAGGAAACGACACGTGAGTATTATTGTTACATATTGTGTTGTTTAGTTTTACGCTCTCTCTTCAGAAGCTTAGCGAAATTATAGCTGAAATCTAAAATCGCCAAATATGGTTGGAGGCCGTTATAACAATGAAGTATCCACTTTTATTATACGAATGAGGCAAACAGAAATAAAGAATTATTGATACAGATTTTAAGCAACAGTTGAAAGAAAATACGAACACAACTTACAACGGACCCTGGGAATTGTCCACTTTTGATCTTCCTCACATTTAGCTTCAGCTTTGCCTTCTGGTCGTAGACCATCGTCGCATGCCAGTGGAATGTTTGTTCCATACGGGATATCATTATTCGGTTGGTCCTGACCTATTACTATTTTTTCCGGAAGCTTTTCGTAAAGAGATTTTAGGGAACATGATGGTCCTAAAAAACGTACGAATTGATCATAAATTTTATTTTGCTTCAATATCAAATTCCAAAAGAATAAGTTCATTCTGCTTCTACCTTTCTATTACCCTAAAATACTATGCAGGATTATTTATAAATTTAAATTCATTGTGATTCGAACTTTATTTTAGAGGCCATATAAAACTGCACTTAAGAACAGAATGAACTTCTTCCCCATATATTACAGGAAATACGTTTAGCCTATTTCCCAAATGAGCCATTTCTTTTCGTCATACTCTAAATTGGAGAAAGGAAAAGAAATGCTTACATATTAGTCAATTTTTTAATAAAACCTTAAACACTGAATATGTATTCTGTAACAGAGCTGGTCACAGTTTTCTATTTACAGCAGATTCCCTGTTAACCGCCCTCTATGCGAATGGACATTTGATCGGATAAATGAATGGTTAATCAATCTGGAAAAGCATGTATACGAGTCAGTCCGAAAAAGCACGAACACAAAATAGCATGTATACGAGGCACAATATAATAAAAATTCTTATCGATGTACGTAGGTTGTAGGGTTTTAATTAATGTTTCTAATACTTATTTTTATTTTGGAACAAAAATTCCTATACATTCTCATTCCCCACCTATGTTTCCCTACCAGAATAAGTTTCAGGATTCCGATTTATGCAAATGAGGCCGAAACGAGATTGAAGCTGAGGTCTGGGTCACTTCAGTAGGAGAGCGTGTTCTACCTTCGGCCACGTTGCTGCTATTAGTCTAAGCTTATTGTTCTACGGCCGTACTTCTATGTACCTGCTAGTACACGCCGTTGAGCTTTAAATAATTGCCAATTCCGGTAGCTGATTCTTTGCAGCTTCGGCTTATTAGTTTTATTTAGCATTCTATTAGTTTTATATTTTCTGTTTTTAGTTAAATTCCAAGTGGAGGCTTATTGTACGCCCGAGAAGAGGGCCATCTGTTAATTTATTTTGAGTTGGAATAAAGGCTAATTTAACCCTTCTTGGACTTGTCACTTACAAGAACTCAACGAATAGTCGCTACGCAGTTCTTTAGTATTCTAGCTTGGTCGTAGGTGTATACATACAGTTATAAAAATGTTTTAAATCATACAAAGGATTCACACTTTCGTATTTTTATATTTAAAAAAATTATTTCGTTGAAAATACGAAATCTAAGATTTTACACATTTCTGGGACCCTATACTTAGGAAACTTTTATACTCGGTATAAAAAATAAAACAACAAAAGTTACCCCCCCCCAAAAAAAAACTGAAATGTTTCAGATTTTAAATTACTTCCAGAGTGCTGTTTTTTTAACATTTTGTGTGTTACCTATATTTATTAAATATCACGTTCTTAGCACTTAAACCATCAATTCAGTTCAAGAGCAATGTCGCAAAATAGTTTTAAATTGAGCATATCTTTAGAATTTCTGATACGCGGTCTAACGCGCTGGAGATAAAAATGTTTTTTCTGTACAACGTTGCCATGGCTCGCTTTGAAATCGTTGAGTTTGTTACTCAAAAATTCGTTAAAGTTTTACAAAATATGAAATCGATAATAAACCAAATTCCAAATTTCAAATTTTGTCTTCCACATGCCTGTATTCGCAGTAGGATGACGTCATTCAAAATTCGATGGCTCTATGTACCGTTGTTTCATCACAATGCGAGAAAAATACATACATTTATGCAGATTTTTCATTATTTAATTTCTTCAAATATAATGCAGGACTCTAACATTGGGTGGCAACAGTTTGAAAAGTGAAACAGACATTTATATTGAACCAACGCAAAATCGCAAAACGAAAACTATAGTCCTTCAGGAACAAAGTCCCATTGGACTAATAATTTTTAATTTTCGATTAATATAAAAAATATTACGATTTTGATAGCTGCCGATAATGAAGCCTGGCAGCGTTTTCTAGAGCAAGCATTCTAAACTGTTATCTGAATAAGATTTCCATTTTGAAAAAAGGAAATACTATATTGCTGATAATTTATTGATCAAAAATTTTCACAATGTTCTACATAGAAATGGTCTTTACATACCTTTCCATGAATGACATTTTATTTTACTTTAAAAAGTATGCAAAAATTTTACCTTTCAATTTATGTACAACCCCTGCATATGATTTTCTATTTCTATATATATATCGGTTAAATTTTCTTATATTGGAGTCAAACGTTTTATTTTTTATAATGAGTATAAAAATTTTCTAAATATAAGGATTGGAGAAACATGTAAAAAGACAGATTTCGTAATTTTTACAAAACAGATTTCTTTAAATTTAAAATTGTCAAAACACGAATTTTTGCGTCATTTAAAGTAACCGGAAGTCTATGTCTACGGTCAATGATTGTGAAAATAAAGGCTGGGAAGCACTTTTGTAGACACGATGTGTAAATGATTTATTAAATATATGCAATTGAAACATCTATTATTGTAATTTTTACAATTTCAGTTATTGCTTTGAAGCCATGGACCTTATAAGAGATAGATTAACCCAGTAGCGGGGCGCGCGTCACCGACATGTCGGCCAGAATGAGTAGGGACGATCTGGTTTACTTCAGCACTGAAACCTATGGCGTTTGTATCACATAACTCTTTTTAATTATTAAATGTGATACCTTGTATAGAGATGAGATTATGAAAGCCAAAGTTTTTTCCAAATAGGATTTAATATATCTCATTAAAACACTTTTTACTGCATTTAGCTCATTTTTTTCACGCATAATTCTTGTACAAACATCTTTACTTTGATAAAACGGTAAAAACTCTACGCACAAAATTTATGAACTTAATTTTGCGTACAAATAACGTAAAATTAAATAAGATTGATAGTACGTGATGCTTTGAAATAAATAAGGTAAAATTAAACAAGATATGATAACTTTTTTTAAAAAAATTTGCTTCGAAATGCAAAATACCGCTTCGAAACTAACAGCTTTTCTAGGCTACCGCCCCTTTGGGCTAATAATTAAATTAACAGTAAATAAAAAAAATCCTATGCAGAACTAAAATTAAACAATCACTATAAAATACAAGCAAAATTATTTATTACGGTTAAATACAATTTTAATGTTAGAATTAAGTGTATAAAAATTATTAAGGAGTCAAAAGTGTTTATCACTATGATGTATTATGAAATATAATTCAAATAAAAATTTTTATAGAAATTGTGCTATAATATTCATCTATAATTTTAAAAAAGCAGCACAATTTAGAATTTTAAACAAAACTTTACCAATAAAAAGCATAAAAACCAATAAAAAGCATAAAAATTGCTTATTTGAATTTTTCTATTAGTTCAGATTTAAAATATTATTTTCTAAAAGAAGTTGTAACAAATTTCCTTACAGCATAGGAAAAGCTATAAAAAATATCCAGCCCTGAAAGCATCTTTATAATTATTTGGAACGTTAATTATGCTCTATAAATATGCTAAATTTTTAAAAATCAATCTCAATTTCAAAAATAAAAGTATGGAGAAATTCTAATTTGTGAAATGAGGCGCTACAACCAGCTTTTTCTTGACAATTATACACGCTGCAATAGGCAACCACTGTTAAATTTCTGCAAGTCGTCCCTACTCCTTCGGATGTGATCAAGGTGACAGCCGGGAACGCCTCAGACGAGGGAGAAAACCCATTTGGGTTAGTCTATTTCTTATAAGGTCCATGTTTGAAGCTAAATGTCGTCACTTTCTAATAAAGATAATACGAACACAGTTTACGTAACCAGCCAAATCAACGATTCACACTGCCAGCATTCACTTCAGCTGTGATGGACGCCTGGAAGGCAATTCCTATGGCTGCCTTTCAAAAACCACCCCCGACGTGCCCAGACTGTCATCAAAATAAAAGGGGGACCAACATCATATTAACCTTCTGACCGGACAGGGTTTTCGCTAAGAAAGCACAAATTTCCCAAAACTACTACGAGAAAAAATTATTTTCTTGATTTTAATGTAAAAATCTACTGGTATTTTATACCTGGATTTGTGTACTTTTAAAAATATATTGCCTTAATTTCTTTGACATATTTTAATATGCACGTATATACACGTTCTTACAGATATCATAAAAATATTCTATTCCGTATATTAGAGAGTTTTAATATATGCCTGGGGAATCTCCGAGACCGTACCATTGGATGTCCAGGTGCTTGGCCAGAGAGTGTATCAGTATCAGGCGAAACGTTTTGTTATTTTACGCATAACTTTTCGATACTGTATCGTGAATATTTTTTTTTTTTTTTTTTTTTGTTGTTTTTGTTGTGGACATGAATTTGTGAGATACTGACATTTTTTCTGAAGAAAAAAGTAAAAAGAATAGAAAATATTTCTAATTCAAATCAGGAATTTCCGTTTTCTTGTACCGACCCCCTTTTAAAGAATGGTTTTCTTCATAGACACCTTTACATTTTTCTCTAGCGTACAACATTCAACATATTCATAATACATATAAATGGACATAAGTAATTAAAAACAAGAAGTATATGCACAAAAATCTTGAAAAAAAGTGACTTATTATTTTTTTAAGAATTATAGTTCTTTTTATTTTACAGTTTATACGGTACTTCTGCCCCCTTCTTAGTGTGTCTTCATGGTGTAGTAGTCTGCACGCTAGGCGCGTATTTCAGAAGTCCATGGTTCGATTCCCGGCCAGGGCGTTGCTCATTTTTCATCTTTCCTGCGTCTAAAAAATATCCTAATGTCTCTACACTGGCGCCCAAACTAAAAGGATGGTGGATAATGATTCTCCTCACTCAGTATTTGGTCCCCTAAACCCCAGTCGCCCTTTAAAAGGGGGAGTACATCGCCTTCATAGTGTGCCGTTATGGTGTAGTGGTCTGCACCCTAGGCGCGTATTCCAGAGGTCCGTGGTTTAATTCCCGGCGATGGGGTTGCTCATTTTTCACCTTTCCTGCTTCTAAAAAATATCCTAATGTCTCTTAAGATTTACAAACATAAACCAAGTTTCTAGAAACAAAATCACAGATTCTATTTCAATAATAGTCGACTTGGATCTTGTTCTCCGTCATAAATTATTGACCTGACTGAAAGTTGCTTCCTCTAGGTACGAGGAGAGGGAAGGAAAGTTAATAATGTGTATTCCATAGAAACTTTTATTTTGGGATATTTCTTTCGATTACTTTTAAATTCCAAAATTTAGCGTATCGAACAAAACGTCTGCATGAGCATCCTCCTTCAATGCAATTGACTCTTTTTGCATTATAATATCAAGACTCGACATACTGCGTTTTGGATGTTCTAAGAGCCATGCTGGCACTTGGAAATTTTCCACGTCTTTGGAGCAAATATTAAAATTTTCTTTTAAATTTTTCAGGTGACACTGTATATGACAATATAACTTCAGAAAAAAATTAAATTCTTTTTAATAACAGACAATCGCATTACGTTATCAAAATAACAATATCTTATATGTTTAAAAATATTGTTGTTTTTTAAATATAACACGTATGTAACTTAAATATAACACGTATGTAACTTAAATATAACATATAATACAACATATAACATGCACATAACACATACGAAATCGTAATTTAAATGTATTTTTTCCTTAAATATACAGGGTGTCTCATATTGAAAGGGACAAAAATAACAGCATAGTACAAATTCTGTAATTTATTTATTAAGTCGAAACAATTTAATTGGCTAATCTTTAGAATATAACAGGTAGTTTGGCGACATTTTGGTAAGGCGATAATGGTTACTAGCTAGGACTTTAGCAACAATCTGAGAAGTACACAAGTTTGAATCACAGATTATTTTGTCTCAGAGAAATGAGAGATCATGAGACATGTAATGTGACATTTTCCGGAAAATTTCGATCGTGATTTCAGCCAGTAAGCACTTAGAAACAATTTCGCTGCTAAAGTGCAGAATCGCCCGCTTATTTGTTTGGCGCTTTTTACAAGGGTAAGAAGAATTGGATTTTTGTCAATTTTCTTTGACTTTTTAAGTGAAAATAGGTCGAGAGTGTGCGCAATGTCATTTTTGTGCAATTCTGATATGTTTTTTTTAAGTGAAAATAGGTCGACGTGTACATGGATACCGTGTATGTGCAATTCTTAATGGTGTACTTAATTATGGCAAAGCACACTTGGGTTATCTGCCTAAGGGGAGGGATGCCTTCGTGGAGGACTTTCTAAGGGAAACTGGCACGTATACACGTTACACATGGGGAAAACCACGAACACGCCCATGCAGCCAGCCCGTTCGCGGGATTCGAACCTCGGACCGAACTACCAGTGTTCAGCGACTTTACTGCTCGGCCGCTGGTGGGCTGTGCAATTCTTAAAAACGCGGCAAGCAGTTTGCGATTCTGCACTTTCTGCCAATTACGCACCTAATCTTCGTCATGAGTAAGTATTTTTGTTCCAGAAAAGTTCTAGTACACACTAGTTCTAGTTCAACACTTAGTTTAGTAGAATAAAAGGGAGGAACACTATAATACCAATTATAGTGTCGACCCCCAATCGACCGCTCGCTTTCATCGATCACCAAGGGGTCAATACCAATACCATTGGAAAACACTAGCTTAAATTCTAGAAGTAAATAATATTTCCTTTTGATGAGCTTACTGAGACAGGAAGGTGTGTTTCCTGACCACTCTCCATTTGACAGGCACTTCAAAGTCGATTTCCCAGATAAAACTGCTGGAGAAAAACAATGAAAATTGGCAGAACTGCCAACCTTTCGATCCTGGGTATACTGTATCTGCATGTCTTCATTTTCTTCAAACGCAGGACATTCAATGTCTGAGAGGAAAAAATGAATTACAACTTAAAAATGGTGGATTTGATTTCAATACTTATTTAGCAACTTTGAAAAAATAAACATTTGATGAACAACATTTATCAAAAAAAATGATACAGTATCTCATACTTGTTTTAGGACAACAGTGATTTTAAAATATCAATTACCAAATATTGGTGAAATGTACTTTTCTTTCGCAAATACTATAGATCATTTTTTTTCCCTTTAAACGGTTTCTTTCAGTATGAAATCTTTACTTACCATAGAAAGCGGACGCCACGCGTATTTTTCTTGTTTGCTTGCGAAAGAAGAATTTTCTTTTTGTTGATCGTCCATTATATCCATGTGCCCTAAGGACTTTTCTAAAATGTTTCAGGGTTTAATTTTATTGCAAGCCGTTTTTATAAATGCGCAAAATTTTCAGTTTCATGTTATGGTAACGTGATAATTTCCGGCTGCATTTCTTAAGAAAACTCTTAGAGAACTGCCAGTCAAAAACTATGTATATAGAGTACTACCCTATGTTGCTGTAGTATAAGTGGTTGTGGCACGTCCGTCGACAGTTGGAAGAACAACAGTTCGAATCCGGGTAAGGGCACATTTGATTTTTCATGTTTCGCCATTTTGGGTAAGAAAACTGGCCTCCTCTACACAGTTGCAGTTTTGATGGATGTAAAATACGTATCATTCAAGTTTCTAAGAGGTTATTATATGTTCATATCATTTCCCATCGATCTGTATTCTATTTCCCTGCCGAAATGTAAATTTCTAGCTCGCGCGATATTCATATGACATAGAAAATACAGTACTTAAAGGAAGGTGTTAGAAGATAAAATCAGAGCACGTTTTATCTGCTTGAAGGCCGCGAAGGCTTCTATAAGCACGAGTTGGTGCTGTTTGTTAAACATTTATTTGGATTAATTAAAGGGCCCTTTACACTCTTTCTTTGTGTCTGTGGTACTTACAAGACTCTTCTGCTAAGCTTCAAATGCAAACAAATGACGGCCTCGTTAGGCTTAGTAACACTTAAACAACTTTTTTCTTCGTAAGTCTACAACTATTGCATGCAGATTAACTAAAAGCATAAAAACCTTAATCGAAACATAAAAACAACATAATTCAATCATTTTTAAAGCAAAAAATGCATAATTTACCAACATATAAGAATAAAGAAACTGAGCTCACCGAGACGGATAACAAAGTGGGTATATACACGTTTGGTGCGGCAGATTGCAAGCAAAAAGGGAGGTGCACAACTGCATGTTATAATAGTCTCATATACGAAATTTCAAAGTTCTGAGACACACTTTTTTGAGTTATGCGAGATACAGGCAGGTAAGTCATGATAAAATCTCTTCTGAATCTATTTTAAATGAATTTTGCAATCCGTTTCGAAAAAAAACATCTGTGTGTACTCTGTCCGTACACACAGATGTGACACAAAAACATCGCATTCGAGAGCGCTGAAAGTGGATATTTTCATTGAAATGATACTTCAAATTTTTTGCGATTACAATAATTTTTTCTTCGTACTAGGAAATAAAAATTGATGGCAGCCATATGTTTTAATCTGAAGGAAATAGCTTTCATTTGTTTCACTGAACAATGGTTTTCAGGTTCGAAATGCATTTTTTGTAGGTGTTATTCGGACTAATATACAAAATGGTTCTCTATGAATAGTTTTCATTTATTGAATATGTTTTCAAGTTAACCGATGTTTTATGTGTCAACCTTAGTCTGACACCGCACAACTGCGTGTGTTGCGCTATTTGTTTTTAGAAATTTCATTCAAAATGATTTTTGAAATATTATTCCTATTTTAAAAATACTAACTAATCAATAAAACATTGTGCGTATATGTCTCTATTATTGTCAAAAAATACTATATTACATATTTTTACTTCCTTGTACGAAGTAAAGAAAGTAAAATTTCGAAACAGCGAAAAATTTCGTGTATCATATTTCAACGAAAATATCCATTTTGAACCATATCCATTTGAACCATATTTTTGCGTGACATCTGCATATACGGACAGTATTAAAGGATTATTTTTTCCAAAACGGATTGTAAAATGAATTTAACATAGATTCAGAAGATAGTTTTTCGTGACATCTATACGTATGTGCGTATATAGCATAACGCAAACACAATTAGCCTTAGAACGTTGAAATTTTGTATATAAGACTGTTAGAACATGTCGTTATGCACCTCCCATTTTGGTTGCAATTGGCCGCACCAAATATATATACTCATCCTGTTACCCGACTCAGGGAGCTGAATTTATTTATTCTTTCTTAAACTATACATTTTTTGCTTTAAAAGTGATTGAATTATGTTCGGGTTAAGGTTTTTTATGTCGTTAGTTAATCTGCATGTAACTAATTCCTTTATCTTTGACAACTGTGGGTTTGTTACTTTAAAAATGATTGAATTATGTTGATTTTATCTTCCGGTTAAGGTTTATGTGCCTTTAGTTAATCTGCATGCAATAGTTGTAGAATTATGAACAATTTAAAAGTTCAAGTGGTGCGAACCTTAGCTAGGCCGCGATTTGTTTACATTTTAAACTTATTAGAACAGTGAAGTCATTTGGTGCACCAACTTCAGTGTCTTTTTCAGAATGGGACCAAAAGTAAACTTTCAATTTTGCGCACCGAAAAACTGTCTTCCTGCTCGCTGGTCGAATAGCTTGTTTCGACGTGGAAAGTGCAATTTTAGTTCTAAAAATAGTTTTCTGTTTTTACCTGTATTTGGTGTTTACAATTTTTTTATGAAGATTTTTTTGAGTTTTAATACATTTTTGCCTTGCCGCGAAGTGGGATATCAATTAATTGAATAAGATATCTACCTCTAATGAAATTCGAGGAAATACGTGTAAATGAAATGCAGCAAAAAATGTGTATAATAGGCCGTACCAGGCAGTCATATGGTGTTCTCATCAGATATTTTATTATTAGAATGTATATAGATATCATATTATTTAGAAACAAATGCAAGTTTATATTACTATAAATATAAATTATTGGTACATTAATATAAATAATTAAATTAAAATGCGAATCTTCTGATGGTAAGAAAAATTTATTGTATATAAATTTGAATTTAACAAAAGCAATAACATTATCTCATTCATATAAAGCTAATTTAAGTTAGTTATTTTAGGCAGGTGATGTGAAAATTATGCAATGCCCTCCGCGTGACTCGAAACTCTACCTCTCGAATACGCGCCGAGTGAGATACCGTTTCACTATGAAGGCATACAGAAAGGAGGGAAAAAATAGCTTATAAAGTGATACAACTCATTTAAGTGTTTCGCCGGAAAATGTCGTTTCGGGACATGCATTCGGACCTGACGTTTCTTTCGAGATAATAAACTGGATTATTTGTTATCCCTTCAGAAGTCGGCCTGGAACATGAAAATAAGATTAATCTATATATTACAAATTTTAATATGATTGGTATATCCACTTTAAATAAATTATAAAAAATTTCCAAAAATAAGGTTTCATATATACAAATTTAGCGTCTTTCTGGGATTGTTTAATCTACTTCTACTAAATTATTAATTTACGTTTTCGAATAAACTTGTTATAAACTATTATTCCCTTTAAGCAAATTAATTTAGTCGGTAAAAATTCTTTAAAGTTTTTAGGATGGATTTTTGGATTATTAAATATTTGTTCATGTATTTTGATGCATGCACTTAATTTACATTTCTTAATTTGCATGATATTGCAAAGTAATCAGCAGCAATAATTAATCTTTTGTTTGTTTACAATTCAATTTTCATAATTTACACTTATGTCCATAAATTAAGGTTAATGCAAAATCATGCAAAGAAAGAGTTAGAAGCAAAACAAATTTGACTTACTTGTAAAGCTTATTTATTAAACAAAATGTGAAGAGCAAAAAAAGAGATGCTATATGTTAGATATTATTAAAAAATTAGCGATTTTTTCTCCCTGGAGCAAATTACAAAAAAAAACCTATTTACAAAAAACCAATATTACATGGTTGGTATGATTGTTAATACATTGCATGTCTCCCACACGATGCAACACAGTCCGTACAACGCCTAGGCATGCTGAGTATCAAATTATCGATCTGATCTTGGGGGATATTACACCACTCAAAAAGCAATGCTCTCCGTATTTCCGGTAGACATGTAGGAGAAGATTGACGGGCTGCAACTCGTCGGCCAAGCATGTCCCACACGTGCTCTACTGGATTCAAGTCCGGTGAGAATGCTGGCCAGTTCATACGGGTGATATCCTCCGATTGAAGGCATACGCTTACGATGTTTGCACGGTGAGGACGGGCGTTGTCATCCATAAACAGAAATTGTGCGTCCATGGCGCCCCGAAACAAACGTACATGTTGTTCCAGAATGACGTCCCGATAGATTTGGCTTGTCATGGTTCCAATTTGAACATGCAGGTCAGCTCTGGAACCCAGAATAATTCCACCCCAAACGAGCACTCCTGCACCACCGTAACGGTGTCGTTCAATGATGTTTTCTTGGTGGTAACGGGTACCTGGAGCTCTCCATATAAAGGTCCGTCGAGAATCAGACTGCAAGCTAAACCTGGACTCGTCGGAAACATCACACAAGCCCACTGTTGCGGTGTCCACAATGCATGCTCTCTACTCCAGGCTAACCGCAGGCGACAGTGAGTTGCAGTAAGTGGAACGCATCTGACAGCTCTACGAGCATATAGATCAATCTGCCCTAAGCGTCTGTACACGGTCTGCCTTGAAATTGACGTACTAGTGGCTGAAGAGAGCTGACGAGACAGGTCTGAGGCTGTGCTCCGCTTGTTTCTTTTGGCAGTAACTGCCAAATACCGGTCTTCATTCGGCGTTGTAACTCTGGAGCGACCTGTGCTGTAACGTCTACTCACATTACTTTCATCTTGGAATCGTTGCCAAAGCCTGGAGATGACACTCTGGGCAGTTCCAAGTTCGTCTGATACTTCCAGTTGGGTACGCCCACATTCCAGACGGCCGATAATTCTACTACGTAAAAAATCATCCAACTGCGTCCTTTGTGTTATAACTACTTGGTTATTGCACTGAAATGCTTATAAAACGCCTGCAAGCAATTTTACTTCTTTGCCTGTATTCCTTATATATCACTCTCTTACACTCTCGTCATTGTGACGTACCATCGGTATCATCTGGTTACTTCCTGAAGTTTGCATATGATTCTTGAAGATGTGTGTAGTGATTTTTACAGGTGATATATTTATTTTAGAGTTCGATTTTCGCGTGACTCTGAATTATCCTAAATTGATGGACATGAGTGTAAATTTAATGACAAATTAAAAAATTAATATCTTTTTCATAATTTAATTAAATGTTAATAGCGGCGCCCTAACTAAAAAAAGGTGATGGATGATAATACTTCACCACCAGGATTTGGCGATTGGCTTCCCATAATCCTCAGTCGTCTTTATAAAGGTATTTTCTCCCCCCTTTCTGCGTGCCTTCGTGGAGTACCAACATCCCCAAGAATGTTATTCTAAACACAATTTATGTACTAATTCTTAGAATCAAAAAAGTCTGCAACGAAATAGAAGAATTACGTATACATACGTAGTTCCTTTCAAGAAGAATTATGCATGTTTATAGATCTTCTCTTAGAAAATCAAATACCCAAGTTCAAAATTCATACTTTACAAAAAGCTGCCATTAACTTATTTTTTTAAATTACCTGTACACAGTGATATAATAGTTACTACCCGAACAGGGATAAAAGCTAATAGTCGGATGGCTGTAACACGTAATTAAATGTGAATAAACAAATTACGAGTTTTTATCATCTCTTTTTGTAAATATGATCTGTTTTCGGCCACGTACTACCCTTTTTTTTTTTTTAATCAAATTTTGATTACATTCTCGCATTTCTCGGGACTAATTTAAATTTTCTAAGACGTTTTGCGGCTCGATTACGTGAGGGCTTTTGTATACGTTTAAAATATGTATACGACTAACGTATGTATACATACATTTGGTGAGGCCGATTGCACCCAAAAAGGGAGGTGCACAACTACATGTTATAGAAGTCCGATGTACAAAATTTTAACGCTCTGAGGATACTCTTTTTTGAGTTATGAGAGATGCATACATACGTAAGTACGTACAGGCGTCATGAAAAAAAATCTCTTCTGAATACATTTTAAATCCATTTTACAATTCGTTTTGGGAAAACGAGTCCTTTATTTTGTCCGCACGTGCAGATGTCACGCAAAGATATCGTTCAAATGGATTCGAGAACGATCAAAATAGATAATTTCGTTGAAATAGGATACCCGAAATTTTTCGCTATTATAATAATGCATTTACTTCGTAACAAGGAACTGAAAAAACACTCCCCGTAATGACCCGCAAAGGGTTAATAATGCTGGAGTAAAGTATGTAACAATGTAATTTTACCGATGCAATCCGGTACATGGGACCAACGTCCGTTTTCCAGACATCTCAGAACGTCTGATCCATTCAATTTCTGCAGTGTTGTCAAGCAGCTGATCTTGGCCTGGCTATCTACCTTTCTCTCCCCATCGTAAACGACTTGGAATTTCGTCTCGTCGAGTGTAGGACACAGAACTTCTTTTCCTGTATGGAAAATAATTCAAGTGTCATACGTGCAGAACTGCATTCAAAAGTTAATAGATTCAAAACTAAGTATACAAATAAATAAATAAAATTCTAAAAGGTTTCAGATTTAATGAACGCACAAAAGGGCTCTTTCAATAGGGTTAATATGGTTTATCAATGGAGATATCAATAAAGATGATCCAGGTGGAACAGCGAAGCATTTTATGTGTTATCAGTTTTTTCTGATTTTTTTATAAACAGCTCATATAATTTTGTAGTCTCGTATTGTTTACTAAGCGGCATTATTCTTAATAGAAAGTTGGTCGACCTTTCGAAATATTCGACATTATTAAAATATATTTGTTTTTTATATAGCTAAACAAACTGAACTTTTATATTTATTTACATGCATATTACTAAGATACTCTGAAATTTTGCGTTTTCATCTCAATTGGAAGATCATATAAATATATATTTTACTTCTCTAAAAACACAAACAAAGAAAGTTTAGAGAAAGGTTATGAAATATATTACGCATGCAAAAATTTTCATATTAATAAAATATTCTTTTGGTGTTCACGCGTATTAAATTTAAAATTAATTTTTAGTTCACAGAAATGCATTTACCTGAATTTAGACCATCCCTTCTACATTTAACAGGGATGGTCTAAATTCAGGTAAATTAAAAACCGGATGATGTAATGAAATATCAAGAAATCTCCTAGTTTTATTCGGAAAGTCGGTAGTTCTAACGGAAAGGTATTTTATCGAAATATGTTTTAATGGTTATTTAAATAGCTCGTCAAAGGGCAGAACTCATACCGCCCAAAGTCGGCGCTTTTCCGCAGGATATCAAAGAAAATTTATTTACGGAATTTTTTTTCGAAATTTCTTTGCTCAAAAATGGGATAATTTCATTCGAACGTTTTTCTTGCTATTCAATCAACGACAATTTTGATTTAGACAAAAATTTTATCTTTGTTGCCAGAGACCCGATAAATTTCCCAAAGTATGGAAGGAAAACGCCCTTTTAATGCTAGAATGCTACATAGAATTGTTGAGAACGAAGTTATTCCTAATGCTTACTACGAATAATGGATCCAAGATCAGAGACCTGTCGAACCCCCCCCCCCCAGGAAATGGTCAAGAGCCTGGAGACATCACATTCAACAAATGCCGTCCTGGACATAGCTTCTAAAGTTGGGAGATCTGCTCCGATTCTGATTCAAAGAACCGATTCACTTTACTAATCGAATGATCAGCGATTCAGCGCAGTGGTAGTTCTTTAACAGTTCACAAAGAGCCAAAAATAATTGTGTTTAATTGCTTATTCGGACTACATTTTGGACATATTGGTGCATAAGCCGGGAAAATGTATGAACCACCTGGTGTAAAATTGATATCTCGTTTCGTGAATACTTGGAACACTTCGAAGGTAGGGTAAGTAATAGTATTTAGTTAGAAAGTTTGTTGATAATAGTCTGGGTTTCGAAGAATTTAAGTGAAATTGCATTGTGTAGTAGTAGTTTGTTTACGGTTTCGTTCGGCAGTATAGAATTGTTTTTATTGTATTATTGTTATTATAATGGCTAAAGAGTTAGATAGACTTAAGAAGCAACGTATCTACCATAGAGGACAGGTAATGAAATTAATATCAAAAATAGAAAATCGTATGTCTGAAACAACATATAGAAGTAGATGAATAAAGCCTTTTAGTTCAGTTACAAATCAAAGACGAACAGCTCAAGTCTTTTGATAATAAAATCAGAGATCTTTTAGATGATCTTTTCTATGTCTCCAAGATAAAAAAATGTCATCAGCGGCCATCAGAAGTGATCTGAATGATGCTGGTGTTTCTGTCAGTTCAGGAACAATCAGGAGAAGATTAACAGATGTTGGACTGAGAGGTAGAATTCCACGAAAAAAGACTTATCTTAATTTTCAGCAACGAAAAAAAGACTACAGTGGGCAAAGAAACACATTAATTGGACAGATGATCAATGGTCACAAGTTATATGGAGTGACGAAACTAAGATATCGTTATTCGGTAGTGATGGCCGAAAATATGTAAGACGTAGAATAGGAGAAGAGCTACATCGTGACTGCATTCAAGCAACTGTGAAGAACCCACTTAGTGTTATGATTTGGTCATGCATGTCAGCAGATGGTATTGGTCGCCTTCATGTCATCGATGGGACACTGAATGCCAGAAAATACATTGACACTGTTCTAGAACCAAAACTTCTACCTTCCATCAGAGATCTCTTTCTCAACAATGCTTCGCTTATTTTTCAGCAGGATTCAGCTCCTTGCCACACGGCCAAAATATCGAAAGAGTAGTTTCGTACAAAGAGCATTAAATTGTTGTCATGGCCAGGAAACAGTCCTGACCTCAATCCTATCGAAAATTTGTGGCACTGTTTGAAAACTCTTGTCCGAATGAGGCGCCCATCAAATAAAGGGAACTAATAGAGGCTATAATTGTTTCCTGGCATCATGTAATAACGAAAGAAGAGCTTAAAACTCTTGTCAGCTCAATGAAACGTCGATGTGAAGCTGTAATCAAAAACAAAGGGTACCCTACTAAGTACTGATAACTCACTGCAATCATCACTATCTAATGTATATCGATAACTATTATCGTTTAACTTTTTTGTATTGCAAATAATTGAATTTTGTGTTTTGTATTGAATTCAGTAATAAATTCCCTTTAAAATGATATATACAGGTTTGCATTTTGTGAAACGTAACGTTTTCTATAAGCATACAAAAATCAAAAACAAAAATTTCCAAAAGTGTTCACAATTTTGGCCACCACTGTATCTTTTCAAGGTCTCAGAACAAAATGTCGACTCCACCGCAAAGAAGAACCTCGAACGATATTTGGCGTCATTTCGTCAAATTAGACAAAAAAGGAAAATGCTGGTATTGTCAGCAGACAATTTCCTTTCTGTGGAATCTGCCTCTGGTCTAAAAATTAATTTTTACACTGTGTTAATAGTAGCAACAAAATATCAATTATTGTAATAAAATAGTATAATCTTTAACAAAAGTGAGTTACGTTTGCATTATTTTTCAACTTTTTGAGCATTTTTTTTATCCCAGAATTTTACTGTTTGTTCTATGTAGAAAGGTGTTCTTAGGGAATTTCAAAAGTACATTCGAAAGAAATCAGTCTAGGGAATGAACGGTTTGATTGAGTTGGTTTCACCGATCCCACTCCTTGTTCGATTCTTTCTGCTTTTCCGCTAACCGCTCTTGATATACTCCTGTTACGAGCGCACTCATGAAAGTTATTGTTAGTGAGCCGTGAATTGTAAAAAAGAGCTTATTTACTTCAGAAGTCAAACAACAAAAATCAGCGTTATATTTACAATATTTTCACAGGACTAGTTTCGATGGTTTTACCGAACCATTATCTTCAGCTGCAAAACCGCAAATGAACAAGATAGGAAATAATGATTAGATAAGATAAGAAAGCCTGGACAAGAATAAGCAAGTGGCGCCATCTGTTGGCGAAACCAGAACTAAAACATAATTTCTCTAAAAGCCGAAGGCAAATTTGGATTGGAATTAGGATCGTTAACTAGAACAGAAAGATTTTTATGAATGTGAAATTCCTCTAGAAAATCCAGTTCTGCAATGGAAGATGTTTTTTGAATAATTTTGGCAGCAGAAAAATTGAAAGTGTGATTTTCGGACCAACAATGTTGAGCAACAGAAGACTTCTGTGTTTCCTTTTTTCTAACATATGCCTCATGTTCTTTGACGCGAAATTTTAAGGCTCTCTTAGTTTGGCCAATGTAAATTAAACCACACTGGCAAGGAATCCTATAAATACCCCAGGAATTCATATCCCGAATGGGGTCCTTGAGTATAGAAGTTGGAATTTTATTGATGGGAGAATAAACAACCCGAAAGTTAAATTTCTGCAAAATATGTGCAACTTTATAGCTAATTGATGGAAAGAAGGGAAGGAATGACAACAGAATTTTTATAATATCCTAAAATAAGAGTGTGGCTTTAGTGTGTTGAGATGAGAATTTTTTAACTGCTTGATTAATAATGTTGGGTGAAAAGCCCCTGTCAATAGCTATTGCTTTTAAATAATTTAGTTCTTCATCAAGGGCTAGTTTGGAGGAGCAAACTTGAAGAGCACGGAAAACATAGGAATAAAATGAAGCTAGCTTTTGTTTAGTCGGATGACATGATTTAAAGTGTGGTGGAAGGCAAAACCGATGAAGGTTTACGGTAAACCGTAGTACTGAAGTTGGATGTATTACGTGTGACCAGAATGTCGAGAAACGGAAGAGAATTGCAAGTCTCAAGTTCAAAAGTGAACTGAATAGCAGGATCAATAGAATTCATTGTTGAAAGAACTTTATTTAAATCATCTTTATTACCTTCAAACACGGTAAAAGTATCGTCTACGTAGCGGAACCATGCCGGGAAGTTTAAAGTTTCAAACAATTTTGATTCATAATAATGCATGTAGATATCAGCCTTGATGGGACTGAGGGGGCTTCCCATGGCTAATCCCTCAGTTTGCTTGTAATATTTATTTTGAAAAAAAAAAAAAAAATGTGTTTGTTTCAAACAGAGTTGAGTGAGAGAAAATAGCTCATCAATTTCGATGCAAGAGAACTGAAATTCGCGAAGTCTGGTTTCTAGACATCTTAATGCACCCTCCACATCTTAATGCACCCTCCCTTTTTGTTGTTTGACTTCTGAATTAGTATTTATTCGGTGTGTTATTGTGTCTTAATTATAGAGCTTATTTACTTCAATAACCGAATAGTTCCGATCTGATCCATTAAAGGAGCGGTTTTGCTCATTCTAATGACTTCCCGAATCACTTCTGTGAAGGACTTGCTTAAACCCCTTACAATCCTGACGTATTCCCATTTGACTTCTTATGGGAGTGTGTTGAAGGTGCAGTCTACACAGATGAATAAAATACCATACATGAGGACTGATAATAAGCGATAACAGCGGTATCACGTGTTATAGAGTAGGTTTCACTAACACAGCTGAAACAGTTTAATCGGAGAACGTCCACCAGAGACATCCTTAAAGTAGCTTCCTCAAATGACAAACATTCTTAGAAATACGTGTTTTGGATTTCTTTGTACTGTTGTTCAAATTCTGAAAATTTGAAATAAAAGAATTTGCTCAATTTTTTTTTCTTTGTCGAGATCGTGTGAAACATCCATTAAACAAGACTCGACTCGAAAATTTGTTTTCTAAGCCTAGAATTAAATTACATATTTTAAATCGGCAACAAAAAAACATACTTGAACAAGATGGCATCGAAGCTGACCAATCACCAGTTTCTAGGCATTTGGATGTTCCATATACATCGCCTTTCCCGCAAAAGAATGTGGCTACGCTACCGGGTCTCTGCTCAGCGGTATATTCTATTAACATATCTTCGGACTCTTTAAACGCAGGGCACCTGATTTCTATAAAGACGCAAATACATGACTTAAGTATACATGTAGACATGGAAAGTAAACCGATTCCAAGTGGAAGAAAAGAAACTTATATGAAAAAAAAAAAAAAAAATATGTTTAGCGAATATACTTGAAAATTGTTTAACTCTAGATTTAAGAGTAACTTTTGAATTTTTTTAATAAAACATTTCATTTATTTTTACCTTTTGCCGACCTATATACCTAAGTGAGAGAGGTAATGCTTTCTGTCCAAAATTTCAATAGTGAATTTTCACTGAATGAGCACGAATTGCGATCACTATAAAACGTTTGCACCATTTTTGCAAGAAAGTATGTCTGCGTGTGTGTATATGTAGCACGACGTTTTCCATGTTTTCCGACTCTAAGCCATGAAGATATCGGTTTAAAACGTTTTTAATTGTTTCTAAAACGAAACTGTTTGTGGGGTTATGCAAAATCGCTTTGGCTTGTATTTGGCTTACAGCAGCAGTGTATGGTGATAATCTAAACAATAATCTAAACAATTTGACGGAATTGAAAGCTGAGATACACTGACACGTCAGTAACATTTCTCCTGTTTTGTTAAGAGCTGCTGTTGAGAATGCAGTATTACGATTTAACTTGCTGTCGAAAAATGGTGGTAATCATTTCTGAAAGGTGTTTTTTGTAACACCTTTCAGAAATGATTAAACACAATTCTCCTCCTTTACACGATTACCAAGTTTGATAACATTTGGTCCAGTAGTTTTTCTTTTATGACCATTTATATTCATAAGTGGAAATTTAATTATAATCACCCTGTATATTAAATACTTTATTTTCTTTAATAAAAATACTAATTAATTTATATATTATTATTATTATTTATAAATTACCTTTTGCCGACCTATATACCTAAGTGAGAGAGGTAATGCTTTCTGTCCAAAATTTCAATAGTGAATTTTCACTGAATGAGCACGAATTGCGATCCCTATTAAACGTTTGCGCTATTTTTGCAAGAAAGTAGGTCTGCGTGTGTGTATATATAGCACGACGTTTTCCATGTTTTCCGACTCTAAGCCATGAAGATATCGGTTTAAAACGTTTTTAATTGTTTCTAAAACGAAACTGTTTGTGGGGTTATGCAAAATCGCTTTGGCTTGTATTTGGCTTACAGCAGCACTGTGTATGGTGATAATCTAAACAATAATCTAAACAATTTGACGGAATTGAAAGCTGAGATACACTGACACGTCCGTAACATTCCTCCTGTTTTGTTAAGAGCTGCTGTTGAGAATGCAGTATTACGAATTAACTTGCTTTCGAAAAATGGTGGTAGTGTTTTTGTAACACCTTTCAGAAATGATTAAACACATTTCTTCTCCTTTACACGATTACCAAGTTTGATAACATTTGGTCAAGTAGTTTTTCTTTTATGACCATTTATATTCATAAGTGGAAATTTAATTATAATCACCCTGTATATTAAATACTTTATTTTCTTTAATAAAAATACTAATTAATTTATATATTATTCAACTGCCCGATAAAATGTAATGTTCAATAAAAAGAAATGCGCTATCAAATATTTGCTTATGTTGTTATATATTAAAGCATTTTTTTACATATCTCCAGTTATACCTAATAAAATATAATCGAATATTTCGTATGACTAACCTGTCTGTTTATTGGAGCAATAAATTAAGTTTTGTTTAAAAAGGGTCAACCGAAAGTAGCACTTTACTTACAGCTCGTTCCTGTTTAAAACAGAATTAACAGGAGGTCATGTGCTGGCTATATAAGATTTTTTAAACTATTTTTTTACTTATTCATAATTATGAATAAAAATTAATATGATTATAAACTGTCAATCTGCGCCCGCGTGTGGTGAAAGCTTCGTACAACCGTTTCGGCTTATAGCTCTGCCATCTTCTTATTGAGCTATGTTAAGGTCTACATAGATCGACTGAAAACTATAGAAGAGTGGATAACAGCGATGGTTTGGGATACATTCGATTTCAATAATTCAAAGCAAGTGAGTTATCGAAATCTTCGAGTTGAGACTTCCGTAAATTACTCAAATGGGAAACATTTTGGGAAATTTACCTTTTAGTGTCCTTTATCCTAATGAACCCACCAGCGGCCGCCAGTAAAATCTCTGAGCACTGATAGTTCCGACCTGGGTTCAAATCCAGGCAAACGGACTGACTGCGTCTGCATTTTTCGTGTTTTTTCCCCATGTGTAACGTGTATACGAGCTAACTTTCCTTAGAAATTCCTTCAGAAAGGCTTCCCTCAACTAAGACAGCTAGCTAGCCCTAGTCTGCTCTGCTTTACCATAATAAACCAAACCAAAATCAAACCTTTTTCCTAAAGTGTAAATCCTGAAAATTTGAAATAAAAATATTTTTTTCAAACGTTTGTAATATTATATTATGTTAATCTAGCCGGTTATTAGTCCAAAGGGGCTTTGTCCCTGAAGGACTATTGTTTTCGTTTTGCGATTTTGCGTCGGACTCATAAACGTCGGTTCACTTTTCAAACTGTTGCCACAAAATGTTAGAGTCCTGCATTATATTTGAAGAAATTAAATAATGAAAAATCTGCATAAATGATTGTCTATTTCTCGCATTGTGATAAAACAATGGTACATAGAGCCATCGAATTTTGAATGACGAAATCCTACTGCGAATATGGGCATCTGAAATCCAAATTTGGAATTTGTTTTATTATAGATTTTATATTTTTAAAACTTTAACGAATTTTTGATTTACAAACTCAATGCTTTAAAAAAAGCGAGAAATGGCAACGTTATATATAAAAAAAAAAAAAAAACTTTTATCTCCAGCTCGCGAGACTGTGTATATATCGGAAATTCTAAAGATATGCTTAATTTAACATTATTTTGCGATATTGCTCTTGAACTGAATTTTATGGTTTAAGTGCAAAGAACATGATATTTAATAAATAAGGTAACACTCAAAACGTTAAAAAAAACGCCCCTTTGGACGTAATTTAAAATCTGAAAAATTTACTGTCACTTCTATCTGCCGTTCTTTCTATTGGAATGCAAATTAGGTTTGGAGTATTTAAGCCGGAGTTATTGGATTGTAAGACAGAGCGTGTTTTGGCTTCTCGAAACTACGTTACTATGTTTCGCTAGCTTACATAAGACTGCATTTTTCGGCTTTGCATTACAGTTGCCGACATTTAAATTGTGATGCCGGTGAGAAGTTTCTGAGCCAACTTCGCGTGAAATCAGGTGTGTAGCCTTTGGCTCCTAGACTTAGTTTTTAATACTGAATTTGGCTGTTACTTAACCTTCATTGCCACAAGCAGTTGTCTGATTTGTCAAGCACAAGACGAGCATGGTTGTAACTGTCCGTTCCCTTCATAGGAGGCAACAGTGGCCACCTATTAGGTGCTTCCAGAGACTTTCGGCCCTGTAGTGGCGCAAGTCTAATGACTATTAAATAGAGCTTCCGGGCATTAAAAAAAAGTCTTTGTCGAGATCCAGTGAAATACAGCGTAAAGAAAACACAAATTGAAACTTTGTCTCCTAAACTTAGAATTCAAATAAAGTATTTTAAACAAGCAAAAAATCTTTTCATCAAAGCGAAACATACTTGAGCAAGATGGCATCTGGGCTGACCAAACCCCAGTTTCTAGGCATTTTGAGGTTCCAGATGCATCGCCGCTACCGCAAAAAAATGTGGCTACGCTTCCAATTTTCTGCTCCTTGGAATATTCTATTACCATTTCTTCAAACTCTTCGAATTCAGGGCATGTGATATCTGTAAAGACGTAAAGAGATAACCTAGTATACATGCCATGGAAATTTACTATGCATATGTCCGTACTATAAGACACAGCATATGTCCATACTATAGGACACAGCATATGTCCATACTATAGGAACTATAGGACACACAGCAAATCCTTCATAATTGTGGTTTTAATTGCATTAAAATAAAAAATTATGTCGAATGCGTATTTCCTATTGCATATGGGACATATGCTGCTCATTATAAACATTTCGCCTATTTTTATAACCATTTTAAGACAGTCTCAAAATTTAATACTAAATTTTATTTCATTTTTATATAAGAACAATAAAGAAGTGCGAAAGAAAGTTTAAAATATTTATAAAAGCAGTGTAGTTCTAAGCATACCCCGAAAATTAAAAAAAAAAATCAAATGAAACTGAAAAATAAATTTTTAAAAAATTAAAAAAAAAAAGATTAAAATATTTATATAAAAGACAGGATAATTTTTAAATATTGCTATACCCCAAAAATATCAATTGAAACTAAAAAACGAAAAATACAGCTTCATAGGATCATGACCACGTATTACATTTTCCAAAAATAATATACATTTTGTAAAGAACCGCATATTTTAAAATTTTCCAAGTCGTAGGAATATCCTCCATCTATCATACCCTTTAGTTGAATACGTAATTTCCTTTATAAATTTTTTAATTGCATTATCCTAAAGTTTTCCACGACGTTTATTAAGAAAATACTCTTCTTCCCCCATCATCTACTTCAATTTTTTACACATGTATTTAGTTTGAATATTTAGTTTGAAGCTTTCTCAATAAGATCAGATTATATCTTCCAGGCTCTAAATCTTTCAATTTTAGAGTTTTAAGATAATATCCGAAGCTACTGAATTCTTCCTTTATTGGTAAACACTTTTTAAAGACTCTTAGGCCAGAAGTTTCTGTAAAACCAGAACTCCAAAAGAATATCATTATATTGTTGCGTACGCACGGGTTCGTAATACACTGGTGTGCAAAACTTAAGCAACAGGTGTTCTTTTTGACATAAATCCACGAGATATCATCTGACAGACATGAAATTTAGAAATAAGAGACAGCATTTTGTATTTAAACGATGACGAAAGCATAATTCCGCAAAAATGAATACAATACATACAGTATAAAATTAAACAAAAACAGGCTTTATTGAACTCATAGTATCGTCACACATGATTGTCTGTATAAGAGAAGAACAACAAGCAGATGTTCCTTAGTATGGGATATGCCCTCCCCTGACTGCAATGGTTGCTTCTCACCGTCTCCCCACACTCAGCACCACATTGTCCAACAGATCTTGAGGTCAGAGTGCCCATTCTTCAATCAGCATCTGTTTCAGTTGTTGGGTGTTCCCCGGAGGATGTAATCGTGCCTCAAAGTGTCTCCCCAAAGTATCCCATACATGTTTTATGGGATTTAAATCAGGGGAGTACGCTGGCCAATCCATTCGAATGATATCTTCACTTTTCAGTAGCTTCTAAACAGCAGGAGTTCGGTATTGCCGTGCATTGTCATCCATAAAAAACGAAGTCCTGGTCCAAGTTGCACCTCGGAACAGACGCACATAAGGAAGGATCACCTCCTGACAATAGCGATCTCCGGTTACAGAACTTCTGTCGAAAACGTGGAGCCGCCCGTTCAGTATAATGCCTCTCCAAACGAGATCTCCAGGACACCGTAATGGTCTCTTTCCATGATGTTACTGAGATTAAACAGTGTCCTTACCTCTCTCCAAATAAGTTGGGGTTGAGAATCGCTTGGGGCACTAAAACGACTCTCATTCGTAAGGAGGACACGACTCCATTGATGAGATGCCTGGTTTTTGCGCTCCTTGCACCACTCTAAACGGTGGCGCCGATGGCCATATTTCAAAAGAATGCAGCGTTCAGGACGGCGGGAGAATAGGCCATCTTTATGAAGGTGTCTAGACACAGTAAATCACGACAATTGTCGCCGGTTGCTGTACACAGTTGCTGAGCTGTGGAGCTTGCTGACTGATTTGGGGCTCTTTTTCCCTGTAGGACGATATATCGGTTATCTGCTGCAGTTGTTGTCCTGGAGCTGCCACCACCAGCCTTTCTAATAGCTGTACCTATGGTTTCGAGCGCTTTCCAAGCCCACGAAATGACACTTTTGTTGACTTCGAAATCTTCAGCCACACTGGTCACACTACGCCCCTCCTCCAGCTTTCCGATCATTCTTCCACCTCGTGAAGTCATCCAGATGATTTCCTCTAGCCATATTTCACGAAAGATTTCACATTGTACTTGCAGCGAATGTCTTTAATTGCGTCTTCGTCCTTCCTTTTATGGTAGTCTCGAGTGAAGCGCACGCGTTTTGCGTACGATCACATAGCCTGTGATTTTTTTTCCCGGACATTTGCATCAGATATGTAATGTGTAAAATAATATTAAATATCTGAAATATTTAATTTATTTGGTAACATAGAAGAAAAATCCTCAAATGATGGTATTTTGTCCTTTCTCAAAAATTCATTAAAAATATGCTTCTCCATCTTAGCTCTTTTTTCCTCTCTGCTCATCCTCTGAGGTTGGACTTTCAGATAAGTATTTTGGACAACCAGAAAAAATGCATGGGTAAGCATCGTTATTTAATTTAGGATGCCCTCTACACATCTGAATAAAAGTACCTTCGTTTGTTGGTAAATAATCATAGCGAATAATATCATCTTTTCGAAATGTTTTTCACATTGAATTCATCTGCGATCACTTGAAATAAAATTTTTCCTTGGAATTTTTTTGATCCATAAATCCCGTTTTACTGTATCTTTTGGAAATTTGAATACTGATACATATTCATTAGTGCCATCGTAATTGGATTTGCATGCTGGAACGCAACATCGTGCAGGTATGATGAAGACAGCTCTACGTAGAACGTCGATCGTTATTCTTTGTAACAGATTTAAATAATATTAAAATCTTGTAGTTTAAATAATTTAAATAGATGAACATTAAGGTATTTGTGAATGGCAATATTTGAAACCAGACTCGAGTGCCTCGTACGACTGTCGCACGAAGAATGTAATTTATTTTTAAATGTTAGAATATGGTTTTTTTTTTTTTTTTTTTTTTTTTTGTATGTCGCCATTTTTGAGTGTTAAATAAAAGTTATTGCTGTGTTCCATCATTGGAATTGCTTCATATCGCCAAAGAAGCATCACAGTCTTAATTATTTTGGAGGCACTGACCGAGATCGAATAATCGTGCGTATTTTTATTTCATTAGTTCATCACTGAACATAATACTAGTGATACCAGATTATTACTTCCTGTTAATATTGAATTGCCTTATTTTATTAGTTCATCACTGAACGTAATATTAGTGATATCAGGTTATTATTTCCTGTTAACACTGAACTGCTTATTTTATTAGTTTATCACTTGAACGTAAACTTAGTGATACCATTTTAATGCCGTTTCTACTAGAGCTCGAAAAGAAAAATAGCTGAAGAGCAGATCTTGGAACCGATGAAGCAAGAAAATAAAGCATCCAGAGATGTATTTGAAGAAGAAGTTAAATCACCAGAATTAAACGGGGAAGATGTTCACGAAAATTTGAAAAACGATAAAGAAATTAATATTTAGAATGATTTTGCAATGCAGCGTTATCATCATCTTTCGGCTTTTGATTTAATATCAAAGCCGCTACTAATAGACGAAGAAAGCAATTGTCGAAAGCAAATGACAAATGAATATTATCCGAAAGGCACAGATGAACTGAGGAAAGGCTTTGCTGTGAATTATAGCCGAGGAACTGGTCCACCATGGAAGAGATCTAGGCGCCGTCAAGAAAAAAAGCGAAGACTAATTTGAACACTGTCCATTTTCTTCCTAATTAAATGTGGTGTAAAAATTTCGGCCTGAAAATTTGGAAACTTATGAGAGAAGTTATCTTTTCTCTTTAAGCAATTGAGCAAGCCGAGCTTATAAACTTTCGAAATTTACAGAACTTTTCCCTTCGGTAAAAGTCTCTCCGTTGAGGGAGAGGCTGTAACAGCTTTAAATATTATTAAAATCTTGTAGTTTGAAATAAATAATTTAATTAGAATGAACATTAAGGTATATGTGAATGGCAATATTTGAAACCAGACTTCGAGTGCCTCGTACGACTCTCGCACGAAAGAATGTATTTTATTTTAAAATGTTAGAATATCGTTATTTTTTTCTTTTTTCCTGTTTGTATGTCGCCATTTTTGAGTGTTAAATAAAAGTTATTGCTGTGTTCCATCATTGGAATTGCTTCATATCGCCAAAGAAGCATCACATCTTGTTAACAAATAAGTTAACTAGTAATCTCAATTTAAAAACGAAAATATCCTTAACAACATTACTTAAATTTAGCAATAAAAAATACACGAATAATAAAAATATACAGCACGCAATCAACGTAATAAGAAGTCTTCGCTTGCAGTGCGAAGGGTGAAAGTTCAGACGCCTTACGTGACGTCAAATCACGTGATTCTGCAGCTGACCAGGCCATCTAATCTCGAAGGCCACGGTCAATCCCTGCGGAGTCGATGGAGTTGACAGTCGGGCAGCCAGTGCCGAGCGGGTCGTCGAGTTCACCGAAGGAGTCTTAGTGTATCGCGGTTAGTGCATCGTCGAGAGAGCGTGTTGAGCTCCGGACTGAACGAAGGAGTCGGGAGCTGTGCTCTTGTGTCATCGAGTGCATCGCGAGTTGTAGAGTTAAGAGTCTCAAGAGTACGTGGAGTTCCGAGAACGACCAAGCAGAGTCGGGAGTAGTGATGAGTCGGTACTACCGAACCGGGTATTTTGTAACGGGTACTGAAAATCGGTACATCCAAGTACCCGTTACTTCAGCACCAAAATCTGTACTTTTCGGTATTCGTTACTCTGTACCGAAACGAGTACTTTTCGGTATTCGTTACTTCTGTACCGAAACAGGCACTTTTCGGTATTCGTTACTTCTATACCGAAACGGGTACTTTTCGGTATTCGTTACTTCTGTACTGAAACGGGTGCTTTTCGGTATTCGTTACTTTGTAACGAAAATATGCGCCTCTTCTCGGTATTCGTTACTGGAGGATCAATGAGGGTTCAGCTCACTTCGGTTTTGGTACGAGGACAGTAGTATCTGGTTGTATTTGCGAAATGGTGATATGTGCTCCTTGTGTCCATGAATGGTCTGCTCCTCAGATACTTCCGTAGTTGACATGTTTTCTGATATTCAAAATCTTACTCCGTACAGATAAAATCAAACACGTGGTGACGTGGCAGAGTTCCTTCAGTGCGCAAAATCGTTAGCTGCGTATTTCGGTACTCCAAATCGTTACTAGGGCACTTGGGTACTCTAAATCGTTACTAGGGTACTTTGGTACTCCAAATCGTTACTAGGGTACTCCGGTACAGCAAACCGTTACTAGGGTACTCCGGTATTTCGTTACTTCGGTACTCCAAATCGTTACTTGGGTACTCGGTACTTGAAATCGGTTTTCGGTACTTTTCAAAATAACGGTTACTTGAGTAACGGGTATTTTATACCGGGTACTTATCTGTACCCGTTACTCTCGTACCGGGTACAATAATGTACTGAAGTTGCCCATCACTAGTCGGGAGGTGTAATCCGGAAGGCAGAGTCGGGTGCTTTGCAGGAAGCTGTCTCCACCGTGATAACCTGATAACCTGAAGGCTGCGTCACTGATCGTGTCAGCGTGTTTATAGCAGTTCATCACGACTGTAAAACGTATTTTGGAGCTGTCTTGACAATACTGGCAAATAAAGTGTGTTTCGATACTTCATAAAGTGTCGTCGTTATTCACTCCAAATCCATACGAACCCCGTACGAACGTGAAGAAGAAAATAACGCAACAACTGGTGTCAGAAGAATTAAAGAAGAAAAACTGTAACAATATTATTCAAAATTGGATGGCTCTAGGTACCGTTGTTTTATCACAATGCGAGAAACATGCATACATTTATGCAGATTTTCCATTAATTCTTTTAAATATAACACAGGACGATAATATTTGGTGGCTTTGAAAACTGAACCAACATTTAAAGTTTTCAACGCAAGGTGCCAAAATGAAATTAATAGTCTTCTGGGCTAAAAATTAAAATATTGCACAAATCAAAGAAAATGTTTAACTCTATGGAAAGAAATGATGGAAAATGGTCCAGCATCTCTCTGTATATAGATGTTAAAAGCCATTTAGAAGGAGCAAAGATTGCTACTAGCGGTTGCTGAACTAAAGCATTCTCGAAGAAGACTCAGGCGCTAGAAACACTTGTGTGCAGGCACCAGGGTATGAAAACCCATCCTGTGTTGAATTCGTGCGAAAATGGCATATCTTTTTCTACCCTAACGTTAAACCGTTCGTAGTTGATGAATAAATCTCGTGAAGCTGCAAGTTCATGAGTCTTCAGACACGTCCGTTGAGCTAGTTCCAATGTTCGGTGGTGTAAATGCAAAATACTGCGTGCTAGCGTCTTAATGGCGAGAGTTCATCTGAGTTGAAGGTGTTTTCTCTGGAGGTCAACCTCCCATGTACTGACCGCGCCTGATGCTGCTTGACTTCGGTGGTCGGACGTACTTTGGTGCGATGGGTGGAGCTACTGGCTATTATGTCCAATAGTGGATCTGAAAAAGGAAGTGCATCTACTTGCAAGACAGGCATTGGCCGGGGGGAGGAGTAAAAACCAAAATGAACATTATTATTAGGTGATGTGAATTATTTTTAAGTAAAGCAAAATGATCATGGAATGTAATAATAGTTATTTCTTATGGGATTAGGATGATATAGATATTATGTTGGCTATGTTACAGCATAAATTAGTTAAAAACCTTATGTGGCTCAGTGTCCAAACAGATGGCAATTTGTATTTTCCTGAGTTTGGTCGTAGTTCTAAAATTACTTCCTAGATGGCGACACTTATGTCGTGTAATAAAACAGAGTATAATTATTTATAGATAAGTCATATTTCAGTGATTTAATTAGATTTGAAGATACATTATCAAATGAGTCTGAATCTACAAGCTGAAATGCGGATGATGTCACAATACCATGGGCATGCTGACCTCCGTGATGATACAGAACCCTTTCCGAGGTTACAGCCGAAAACGTCGCGGAGAAAACAACGCAAGGCGAAAACGTCGTGCTACAAAATATCGTGGGAGAGAAAACATCGCAGTTCTAAAACATCGTGGTACAAAACATCGTCGTGGAAAATAAAGCGGTTCAAAAACTTCGCAGTTTAAAAACATCGTCGTCGAAAATATAGTGGTAAAAAATAAAGTATCTACAAATCATCGCATGACGATAACATCGCAGACATGCTTTTTTCAGGCTTTAATAACTGTAAATGGATATTCCCATAATGATTCGTGAGCGCAAGTGATGTAAGGAAGGATAATTTTTACTTTCACATTTTTTTATTAACTAATAAATTTTTGCTGAAAAAATAAGAAGGAAACTTAAGCATAGAAAATTAAATGCAACTTAATAGATTATACTTTTTATGAAAAATTACCTGTAATATCTTTATAAAAAATTATTTATTAATGGTCTTTGTTAGTTAACTATGTCGATTTAAAATTTTATTAAGTGCTATAAGTTGCATTAATTTTCTATGCTTAAGTTTTCTTCTTATTTTCTCAGCAAAAATTTAATATTTAATAAAAAATATGAAAGTAAAAATTATCCTTCTTTACATCTTGCGCTCACAAATCATTATGGGAATATCCATTTACAGTTATTAAAGCCTGAAAAAAGCATGTCTGCGATGTTATCGTCATGCGATGATTTGTAGATACTTTATTTTTTACCACTATATTTTCGACGACGATGTTTTTAAACTGCGAAGTTTTTGAACCGCTTTATTTTCGACGACGATGTTTTGTACCACGATGTTTCAGAACTGCGATGTGTTCTCCCACGATGTTTTGTAGCACGACGTTTTCGCCTTGCGTTGTTTTCTCCGCGATGTTTTTGCGGCGATGTTATCGGCGGACACCCTTTCCGAACAGGATTCATTGAAGACGTAAAGACCCCCGTTTCGAAAAGGTTGCAACGTGTGGCCAACGAACGTGATGACGCAGCAACCCTTTCTAAATAGGATACAATATGTGGGTGACATCACAACAATAATCGTTGTAAACACAGTGATCCTAAGACTGACGTTTGTGAGTGCCCCAGCAAGTCCGCTCACTCAATGCCTAATAGGCCAGAACTGCTCTTTTATACCTACTAACGCTCATGAAAGAGAACAGCGGAAGCAATCTTTCCTTACCTGTACAATCCGGAGTTTCGGCAGACCAATGACCATCCATTAAGCATGTCAAAACATTTGCTCCGATTATTTTTTGTCCTAACTTCTTGCAATCAAATTTAGCAGTGCTGTTGGGAAGTCTGTCTCGATCATATTCGATGATAAATTTATTTCCTTCTTCCAGCAATGGACAACGCATATCGGGATCTACATAGAAAAAAGCAGTTCATTTTTAAATGATGTCAGTTAAAAATAATCCTCGCAGCAGTCATTTTCAATAGTCTCTTAATTTGAAACCCAGTTTCTAAATGTGGTTAAAACAGTAAAGGCTAAGAATCTGCATAGTTCAGTGCTAGTAAGGTGTGTAAATAAAGGAATGAGCCAGGAAGTGTTCGATCTGACAACAGTTCTCATTTGCAGGGAACGGGAAGGGAATACTCGATGCATATCCAGCACAAATTTGAAATGCGAAGGTTCATATAGTAGTTGCTCGAAGGATTTTATTTCGCAACCTGTTTTTTTCTGTTGCGTTCTGGCCTGTTTCCGATGTGAAGCCTTAGGGAAAGGTTTAATCTCTGAAGGTAAAAAAAAAAATGGTTTTTCTGTTTAGTCTAACTTGGGAAGTACACTGCGCAAAAAATAAATAAATAAATAAATAAAATAAATAAATAAATAAATAAAAATAAATAAATAAAATAAAAATATAAGGACAGTTCTTATACCTCCCGTTTTACTGGGCCGAATGACGAAATTCAAATTGCGTTCTTCATGTCTCGAAAGCGCGACTTAGGATATATATTAGATTTATTCTAACAATAGGTATTTTGACACAAAATCGCACGTTTTCTGAAATAACATACCATTTTTTTTCCATATTTCGAATCTACGTCTCAAATTATGCCTAAATATTAAATTTTATAAAATTTGGTGCGAAATTTACGAAGAAATTCACAAATTTATGTTGGCGCTTTTTTTTCACTTTGCGCCAAGAATAGTTCACTTGGCGAATTTCTTAATATATGGCAACCTATTTTCCTTTTCCTCTTTTTACATCGTGCGTGAGCGGAAATTATTCCTTCGAACTGAGCATTTTAAATATATTTATTAATATAAATTTTCCAGCATTTGATTTTATTTATTTGAATTGCGTTTCTTTCAGAAGAATACTTTGTAATCCAAACTACGATGCGTTTGAAAACTGCATATATTAAAAGAGAAAATACAGTAAAGCACAGTTAACACGCCTTTCAATGTTCCGTTCAGAAAATATATATATAAATGAATAAGAGAGGTGTATATACGATATTTTTAACTTAGGATGACTTGCATACATTGGTCTAAACCAGTTTTATCGTTGCGCCCATTGCTTTACACAATTTTATCATCCTACATTTAGTTTCTTAAAATATTGTTCATATTTTAGTCAAATATTTTATTTTTGAAATAGCAAGAATCAACTATCATATGATTAAAAAAGTTTTAAATTAAAAAAAATACTAAGTTTTATGCAAAAATTTATTTTTTCTTCTTAATAGCTTGCTCTTTTTCTTTAGGCATTCTGCAAGTATATTTAAAAGCATCCAACTTTTCGAAACATCTTGGTATTTCTGACATTTATTTTAAATAAAGTTATCGCCTTCCGTTTCATAAAGGCCCCAGAAACGGCCGAGCGGTAAAGTCGCTGAACACTGGTAGTTCGCTCCGTGCTTCGAATCCCTTCGAACGGGCTGGTTGCATGGGCGTTTTCCTGGTTTTTCTCTTGCGTATTCCAGCTGGTTTCCCTTAGAAAGTTCTTCATGAAGGTATTCCTCCTTTCAGGCAGATAGCCCTGCTTTGCCGTAACTTAATAATCCAATTCAATCCATTTCATCAGTATTTAGTCAGAGCCTTTATCAGTCTTGAGAGGCTAAGCATTTTGAAGGCTTGAGATGAAAGGAAAGACTGGTTTCATCAAGAGGGAAACCGTCTGTAGGTGACATCCACACACATCACTATATAATTTCCTGAATCTTCAAATACTTCGACTAAGAAATCATGGGATTCTCCGTTTATGATACGACATGATGTTCTATAATCTAATTTAAATTTATACAACCATATAGTCGGAAAACCAGTCGCTCTTGACTTCAATCTGCAATGATATCGTTTTTGTCTTTTCTGTTAGCACAAGCTCAATTAATTGATGGTATTAATTTATAATTTTCGTTTGTTACACTTCAATTGACGGTATTTGCTGGTGTATACGTCCAAATGTTTTCTCTTTCAACACCCAAATTCCTTGAAGTATTCTGAAAGTATATTCAAAAGCATCCAAATTTTCGAAACACCTTGGTAGTTCAGACAACCAAATTCCCCTTCAGATTTTTCTTATTTTTCCCTCTAATTTTCATCTTTCCTTCTACATTTATTTCCAGTGCTCACACAAGAAAATTAGGATTTTTCGATTCCATAAATTTTACGTTCTTGTCAAATTTTTTAAAATGTCAGTTACATCAATTGCGTTTCGGCTGAAGACAGATTTTCATTTTCTACGCATTTTAACTATAAATAAAGTTTAATGCAAAGTCCAAAGGATAAATATTTTAATTAAAAAAGATTTTTTTGCTATATGAGAAATAAATAAAACAGTCCAGCAGTGTTTATTCTGTACCACTGAGTGATGGATTAATTTTTTTGTTGAAAACGTTGTCTTTTAAGATGGCAAGCAAAGGTAAATAAATACATTTACTACGAGTATAAAATACTGTAGAAAGGTTAAATTATTACTTTCATATAGCACAGAAATAGAATAAAAATACCGCTATAAAAACATTGCGCCAACGTTTAATTCGATTAAAATATTAAGTAAATTGAATATCGAATTAAAAACCATCATACCAACGTTTAAAAGAATTAAAATATTACTTAAATTAAATACTTTAAAATAAGTAAATAAGAACGCTTCGTACACTAGAGCTAAAATGACAGCAATTAATTTATTGTCGGTAAAAAAGGAAGAATGTCTAATAATTTTCTTACCGTTACAACGGTTATTTCTTCCAACATGACCACAATACCATATACGGCCGTCTCAGAATAGGCTCTTCTAACGATCTTCATCTGTGATCTACATTTTCGCACTTCATTGAAGAAGCAGTTAGCGAGGTTTCCTCCAAAAATTTAAAATAAATTTCCTCTGACCCTTGTAAGAATTTATAAATAAATCTTTGATTAGGAAAGCCAGGCTGGCGAAAATAAGGTCTCAAAGGACAATTTTTTGATTCCGATACCAAAAATTCTTGGTACTTATCAAAAACAAAATTCATCTTTGAAGAAGACATTTTTAAAGGAATTCGAAGATATGAATTAAATTTTAAAATGGCGCGGTAATGCACAAATTTCAGCAACCTATCAGGGAGCTGATTACAGCTCGTTAATGCACAAATATTCTATAACCAATCACAGAGCTGATTACATCACGCCTAGAATTAAAATTGTTTAAATAATCATACATAATAAAATCATTTTAAAAAAGAAATGCAAAATTGTATTTTAATATTTAACAGCTATAAATAATATTTAAAACATTAGATTAAATTTATAGATATTAAACCCAATTACTTTTAAAGTAAGGTGACGTCATTGATTACATCATCAACAACATAAAATTACGTAAAATATCAGAAACAATAAAATTTTTATTTCAAATAAAAATGCAAAGTTAAATTGATTTTTAATATTTAGAAGCCATAAATAATATTTTAAACACGGAATTTATGCATAATAACACGCATTATTTTTTAAATAAAATTACCACAAATTATCGGTTACCATAAATAACTTATCCAGCAATGGGTTTACCATAAGTCGTAATACTCGCCAAAAGACAAATTGCCAAAAACTCGCCAAACTCCGTGCAACCGTTTGCCAAAGTAGCACCCTTTTCAGGTGTACGTAGAACTTATAATTGTTGCTTTGGAATCAGCCCGCTAGTTATAATAATAAAACTCGAATAATTGTAAAAAATTGAGGATTTTAGCGAAACAAAATATCCTTACTCACCAAATACTTTTATGTTGATAGTAGTCGGAGCATATCCTTCCATAGCGCAATTGTACTTTCCATCATGCTCCGAACTTGCTTCCACAATGTCTAATAATGTAGTGTAAACTATGCCGTCGTCGGTATTTTTAGCCTCATCTGAAAACCATAAACCATAAAATGTAGTTCAAGAGCAATATCACAAAATAATTTTAAAATGAATAATATATCTTTAGAATTTCCGATACACACTCAACCGCGCTAAAGACAAAAATGCTTTTTTTTCCTGTACAACGTTGCCATTGCTCGTTTCGAAATCCTTCAGTTTGTTAATCAAAAATTCGTTAAAGTTTTACAAACCATGAAATCTCTACATATAATAAAACAAAGAGTCTGTCTGTGTGTATGTCTTTCGTTCACGCTGCCCGTAAGCTAATAGACCCACGGCTACGAAATTTGGTACATAGGTGCATCTAGACAAGAGCCAGTGCACCTCGAAGCGGTTTTTTCGAAATTCGAATTAGAATTTTTTTTATTTTATGTTTTGTAACGAAATCGCGTCATTTTGAGACATAATGGGCTATAGGAAAGCGAGATTTTACTCTACGCACTCCATTTTCACATCGTCATGAAATGTAGGCACTTAGCTATTTTACGAACTTAAAATAAATTTCGTGTTTCAATAAATCGATTCAATACGAATTTATTTAACAAAGGGAGCTTAACACCTTTTCAACGGGATTTTTTCTAAAAACGTTTATGTTTAAAAATGTACAGTTTATTTTTCTTTGATTTTTGGACACGTTAAACTTTCATCCTTGCGACTGCTTATACAAAAAGAATTTTGGAAAAATGATAATATTTTGCATTTAAAAAAAAATTTTAAATGAAGCTTCCGAGTACACTTCTCACATCTCACATCTTTACAAATGTGATTTTGGCAACAATTTTCCTGTCTTATTGTTGTTGATAGATTTTTGATGAAATCGCATCATTTTGAATAGTTTCATTTATTTCTTATGTCACTGTTTTTAAGAGATTGGCATATTTCATTGTCATTTATATATATATATAATATATTTTTATTGATTTTTTTTTTTTTGATAAAGTTGTTCTGCAGAGTAAATTTCTGATCGGAATTTTATGTTTTTTGAGTTGCTTTCCTGTTAATTTTTGCTTATTTCACCGTTTGTAAGATATTCAAAAGTTTTGCATGATCTTTTTTCTCAACGGAAAGTTGGTTAATTTTTTTATTAGGATAATTAATAGTTTCATTCTTTTAGAAATATGGGTTTGGCAACAATTTTTCATCGTATTTTAAGAGATTGGCATATTTCATTGTCATTTATAATATATATATATATATTTTATTGTTTTTTTTTTTTTGATTAAGTTGTTCTGCAGAGTAAATTTCTGCTCGGAATTTTATGTTTTTTGAGTTGCTTTCCTGTTAATTTTTATTGTTGTTGATAGATTTTTGATGAAATTGCATCATTTTCGATAGTTTCATTCCTATAGAAATATGGGTTTGGCAACAATTATTCATCGTATTTCTTATGTCACTGTTTTTAAGAGATTGGCATATTTCATTGCCATTTTTTTATATATACATTTTTATTGATGTTTTTTATAAAGTTGTTCTGCAGAGTAAAATTATGCGCTGAATTTTTTGTTTTTTTGAGTTTCTTTCATGTTATTTTTTGCTTATTTCACTGTTTGTAAGATATTGAAAAGTTTTGCATGATTTTTTTTTTCTTCAACGGAAAGTTGGTTAATTTTTTTTATTAGGATAATTAATATTTGTATTAAGGGATATGACTTATTTCATTGTAATTTTTGGTGCTACTTTGGTAGACGGTTGCACGGATTTTGGCGATTTTTCTTTTGGCGAGTAATACGACTTATGGTAAACCCATTGCTGGATAGGTTATTTATGGTAACCGATACTTTGTTGTCATTTTATTAAAAAATAATGCGTTTTATTATGCATAAATTCCGTGTTTTAAATATTATTTATAGCTTCTAAATATTAAAAATCAACTTAATTTTGCATTTTTATTTGAAATAAAAATTTTGTTGTTTATAATATTTTATATAATTTTATGTTGTGGATGATGTAATCAATGACATCACCTTACTTAAAACGTAATTGGTTTTATTAATATCTATAAATTTAATCTAATGTTTTAAACATTATTTATGGCTGTTAAATATTAAAATACAATTTAATTTTGCATTTGTTTTAAAAATGATTTTATTAGGAACTATTTATTATGGTTAATTTATTTATTAGGATAATTAATATTTGTATTAAAGGATATTGCTTATTTCATTGTAATTTTGTTATACGTAATAACTTTTTTTTATGAAGTTGTTCTGCAGAGTAAAATTCTGTGCAGTTTTTAAATTTAACGTTTGGTGTTCCCTTCAGCCATTTTTCCGGTACATTTAAAAGCCAGACGAAGGCTGGCAGCGAAGCTGCTAGTCTATAATAAAAATAAATTCCAAATTTCAAAATTTGGGCTTCCAGATGCCCATATTCGCGGTAAGATTACGTTATTCAAAACTGGATGGCTCTAGGTATCGTTCTTTTATCACAGTGCAAGAAACGTATGTACATTTATGCAGATTCTTCATTATTCAATTTCTTTAAATATAATACAGGGCGATAATATTAGGCGGCAACAATTTGAAAAGTGAAAGAACGCTTGTAGTGAATCAACGCAAAATGCCAAAAGGAAATTAATAGTCCTTCTGGGCAAATTACCCCTTTGGACTAAAAATCCCCCCCTCCAAAAATTGATGATTATTGTATCCGGGAAAGTGCCATATGCTTGTGTAAAGGATTACTGTAACTACCAAAAAACTTTTAATACGTGTCAAACAAAACAGAAATTAAAATTAAGCGAAACAAAACAAATTAAATTTTTCAAAAACATTTCTTAAATAAAATTAAAAACAATTAAAAAACTTTACATAACATTTTATGACTAACTGCTTTTTAATTATTCACAATTTAATGTTTGAGACTAGAGATAGAGTCATGAGGGGATAAAAATCTTAAAAATTAAACTCGAATATTTAAGGAGTTCTGGAAATTCGTTTCGTCATTCTCGACTCCTTCAGAGAACTAAATACATCTACAGAGAACTATTAAAAATATTTATTAAATGTTTTACACCCCAAAGTGTTAAAAATATACCTCAATGCGAATTCAGACCTAAGAAAATTAAACCGCAGAATAAAAAACAGCCTCCCTCCCCCCAAAAAAATAGCTTTAAAAAAAAAAAAAAAAAAATTCATTAAAAGAATTAAATTTAAAAGTACTCTAGATTAATAAATTAATCACGTCAGATTTTGCAAAAAAAATGAACAATAAACAAATCAAAGATTTCTCTAAAATATCTTCATTTTCGGAGAGCTAAAATGGTGCAAAATCAGAAAATTTTACTTACTTTATTAAATTGAAGAGTAAAACAAATGTATACAGCTAGAGGTTCACAAAGCAGGAAAAGATTTTGTATAATATTTTGAACACTAATATACAAAATGTTACATATCCGGAATGATCTAATATCCGGATTGCCAAACAACAAGTATTTTTGTGATTTGCCTGTTGAAATCGAATTATATGTGCAGTAAGCGTCAAAAACCCGATATGTAATAAATAAAATAAATACACGAAGCTTTAATAATAAAAAGACAAAAAGAACTTTTGTAAAGCCATCTTGGTAAGAAAATTGAACATTGATATGATAAACTGAGAAACACTGAAGAAAAAAATTAAAAATGTATGCCAAAACTTAACGGTGCATCGGAAATTCAAAACGTGTAGTGCTATGCTGCTTTTAAAATTTTTGTAGTTTGGTGTTGAATTGTATATGACGCAAATGCGAAGAAAATGATGCTGAATAATAAAGCTAAAAAGACAAAAAAAAAAAAAAAAAAAAAAAAGGGATAATATAAGTTAGTGTAACAGCAGAGTGGTAGATTGCGAACTCAGGAAGAGCGTAAATAACCTCAACAAACCCTTTTGGGCGACCGTTCAAATCTAAAACCTTTGATTTTTTTCTTTACAAATTACTATTATCATTTTTTAATGTCTTAGTTAAAGTTCAATTTTAGTTCTGTTGAACTTGCTAAGTGATAACTAACAGACAAAGATCTGCGGGCCGTGGAAAGGAATTTGAATTAATTTATTGAAGTGTCGAAAATGTTACACTAACTTTGCTCCGAGTTTTCGAAATAAAATATAAAACAAAATTAATTTTCTTCAGCGCATCTCCTGACACATATGACAAATCTCCAATCAAATTCAAGTTGAGGATTCGAGATAGCCATATCTTTGAAGTATATATATTCGCTATTTCAGCTTCATGCAAATGCAACGCGTCTTTTTTTAAGTTGGATACCTAAGTGTGAAAATTTTTATTTTATGATGCCAGAGTTGTTAAGATTCGCTTTCCGACCATGCAAAGAAATATACTTGAAATTAAAAAAATCTTATATGTACACACCATATGACTTCCTTGTAGGGAATATTAAATTGTACGCATTTTTTCTTGCATTTCATTTAAACTTATTGGATGGTGTTAAGTTTAGGATTGTGTATCCATAGATCGCCAATAGATGGCGGTAGTGTTTGTAAAAAGAAACTGTGATGTCAATTATGTATATGTATCAGTTCGTTTTTGGTGTGCGTGAATAAATGTTGTGTGGAAGAACGCTCCTCTGTTTATTACTTTAACTGCGATCCAGTCTGATTTATTAGAGATTTACACATATTTTGTTTAGATGGAATTAAATCTACTTCGTCGATAGCGCATAAACCACAATAGAATAAATTCACTCTTTAAAATTCAGGTATTTGTTTACCATAGCCGACACTCTGCGCTAGTTCACTTAACAGCGTTATATTCGTTCATATTATAACTCAGATGCACAAAATTTATATCATTGAAGAATTTACTATTCTGCTGTTCCAATGTAAACAAATGTCCGCCATGTTATCTAAAACTTAGGTTTTAACCGCACTAAAGCTTTTAAATTTTGATACTCTAAAAGTATTACTTGCAGATTTCCTAAAGGCCTAAAAACCTTAACCGGAAAATAAGAACAACATAATTCAATCATCAAACAATGCACAATTTACAAACATATAAGAGTAAAGAAACTGAGATTACCGAGCCGGGTAACAGAGTGGATATATATATAAATATATTTATATACGTTTGGTGCGGCCGATTGCAACCAAAATACGAGTTGCATATCTACATGTTATAGCAGTCCTATATACAAAATTTTTACGTTCTGAGGCTGCTCGTTTTTGAGTTATGCGAGATACGTTTGTACGTACAGACGCCACGAAAAATTCTCTTTATAATTCATTTTAAAGCAGTTTTGTAATTTTTTTGGAGGAAAAGAGAGTGTTATTCTGTCTTTACATACAGACGTCACTCAAAAACATCGTTAAATTGCATTCGATAGCGGTCAAAATGAATATTTTCGTTGAAACATGCTGCCTGAAACTTTTCGCGATTACAATACTTCCTTTTTACTTCGTACGAGGAATTAAAAAGGGTACCAATATATATCGTCATTTCACTTTGTGTATAATAAAAAATTGTATACACTTACTTAAGAATAATTATTTACTTACAATGAGTATGAGTATTTTCACTTTCTGGAAATGTCCAGGTTGGATATCGGATGTTTCCAAGGCATGTTAGTCTCACAGTTACCCCTTTTATTAACGAAAGGGTTCCATCAGGCATCACTTTCAGGTTTTCATCGAAAAAAATAGCTGTATCACCTAAAAAGTACGGGACGATTTGTCAGTAGAAAACCAGTTAACTTCTCAAAATTGTATAAAAATGTTTAAACGTTCCATTTAGGGAACTACAAACCTCTTTACTGTAAAATGCTACACTATTTTACAACTGACAATACATGAAGACCTTATGTCCACCAGCTTCTTTGTTCTATGAATTATTTATATTTATCGAAGTCTCTTAGTTCAATTAAATGTTCCTTGAATTATTAATACATGTGTAATAATGTAAAAACCAGCGTAATAACCAATAATCGAAGTATCATTTCCATATCAAAACAAGAAATTTCTCGCGCAGTTTAAAAAAAAAAAAAAAAATTTTGAGGTGAAAAACCACACGATTTCTTTATGCGACCTATTAAATTATACACATTGTTTGCTGCATTTCATTTAAACTTATTTCACTAGAGATATATTTCTCATTCAATTAACTCAGTTCACACTCTGTGGCAATGCAAAAACACATAAACACTCAAAACATCTGCATTGAAATTTGTAAAATACAGAAAAACATAAAATACCAAATAAAATTAAAACAGCTAAAAAAAATTTTTTTTACCATTAAAATTATAGTTTCTATGCAAAAACAAGCAATTCGGCCAGCGGAGAAGATGGCATAGTTTTCGGTTTCACAAAACTGAGTGTTTACTTTTGGTCCTAGTCGAGACACTGAAAGTGCAGAAACTGACTTAATTCACTATCTACTAAGAGTTTCAAATGTAAGCCAATGACGGCCTCGTTAGGGTTAGCACCACTTAAACTTTTAAATTGTTGATAATTCTACCACTGCTGCATGCAGATTAACTAAAAGCATAAAAACCTTAACCGGAACATTAGAACAACAAAATTCAATCATTTTTAAAGCAAAAAATGCACAATTTACCAACTTGTAAGAATAAAAAACTGAGCGGGTAACAATATATCCCCACTCTGTTATATATATATCCCCACTCTTTTATAATATATATCCCCACCTACTATATATATAAATCTCCACTATATCCATACTGAGTGGGGCCATGTAATATTTATCCTAAGTTTATAAGTTATTTTTAAGTTAAAGCTCCTTTCCTAGCTCTCCTAATTTCAGCTTTTGGCCCACCAGCGGCCGAGCAGTAAAGTCGCTGAACACTGGTAGTTCGGTCCGAGGTTCGAATCCCGCGAACGGGCTGGCTGCATGGGCGTTTTCGTGGTTTTCCCCATGTGTAACGTGTATACGAGCCAGTTTCCCTTAGAAAGCCCTCCACGAAGGCATCCCTTCCCTTAGGCAGATAGCCCCAGTGTGCTTTGCCATAATTAAATACACCACACCACACCTAATTTCAGCTTACAAATTCCTTACTAGAATGAGTTTTTAGAATCGCGTTTAATGCAAATGATAAGGAGTAGTATTTAAGTCGCGTTTGCCTTTTGGCCTCATTTCTCTAATCTGTTTACTATGCTCGGCCGTATTACGGGACTTTGATACCTTCGCGAGCTAATTCGTTATTTAGGGGCCAATTACTTAAAATTGTGTTAGCTTCGGCTAAATCTCTTTAGTTAGTCATTGATTAAGTTCTTATTTCTTATAATTTTGAGTTCAATCCCAAGGGGAGGCTTTGCTGTACGTTCTGAGAAAGGGACCACCTGTTAATCCTTATTTTGAGTAATAAAGGGTAATTAACCCTTTTTGAGCTTTACATTTCTGTTACTGAACTTAAGCGATTATTCGCTTAGTTGTTCACTAGGTTCCACCCCACTTTGATATTAGATAAAAAGAAGAAAAACATTACATTACTTCTGTTGCAGCCAATTGCCAACAAAAAAGGGAGGTGCACAACTACATGTTATAGCAGTCCCATATACCAAAATTTCAACGTTCTGAGGCTACTCATTTTTGAGTTATGCAAGATATATACATAAGTACGTACATAAGCACAGATGTCACGAAATATCTCTTCTGAATCCATTTTAAATACCTTTTTCAATCCGTTTCGGGAAAAGGTGTACTTTGTACTGTTCGTACACGCAGATGTCACGCAAAAACATCGTTTAAATGGATTCGCGAGCGGTCGATATGGATATTTCCGTTGAAATATGATGCCCGAAATTTTTCGCGATTACAATACTTCTTTTACTTCGTACAAGGCAGTTAAAAGGGGTGGAATTTCGATGGTAGTAACATACTCATGTTCGTGACATAAAGTCTTCGCCAGTTATCAGTATGACTGCAATCCATTTCGAACATAATCAAAGTGACTTTAATCCATTTTAAACTCTTTGCAGTAACATGACTTTAATCCATCTGGAGCATAAGAAATAGATTATAGATGACGGTAATTGTTAATGATTAATTCTGTTAAATCAAATTAAGAAGCCTTGGCATTTCTTCTTTTTCCCCTTTCTTTTCATTTATTTATTTATTTGCTTACAGTCTTCCTAATTTATTTTTCTGATTTCACAATTTTTCTCTCTTCCTTCAATGTTTTTAAAAAATTCCGAATTTTAGATCTGGAATAATGGATGATAACTCACATTTCATTCATTTACTTAATTTTTAATGTATTTCTTTATTCATTTCCTTATTTTTCTGTTCCTGAATTTTGTATAACTGTTGAATTTTGTATAACCAATGATTGCTGCTAAGAATACGAAATAAGGAATCTATTTAACATTACGGTTGGAAATTGATAAATAAAAGAACTACTATTTAAAACGTGATACATTAAAAGTATTTATAAATTGATGTATTGCATATCTGCAGCCTAGACATTACATGTTTTTACATAGGATATAAGTTTTCATAACGTTCACAAAAATGGTTCTAGTTTACTTATTGTTTAAAAATTCTTCAACTGCTATTACGCGCGAAATTTATTTGTTATGAGTTTTGTAAGCTGTTTTGAAAAGTGCGAAAAATTGCTCCAGTTTGGCGATTAATCGCCATATTTACATTAATAACACGTACTCTTGGGAGACATTCGGTTTATCACACAAAAAACACATTAAAAACAAGGTCTCTGTATGGGATATGGATTCTTTTTTAAATCTTTTTTATCAAATTCTGAATAACGTAGTCCTTCACCCGAACATGGGTACCTGGAAATCTTGTAAAATTTTAATGAATTTTTTACTAACGAACTCAACGACTTGAAAGCGAGCAGTGGCAACACTGTATGGAATAAAACATTTTTGCTCGCGATACTGTCTATTGGAAATTCTAAAGATATGCTGTTTTTAAATATTTTGTTATTTTGTTCCTGAATCTAATTTTATGTTGCGTAAGTACCAAGAATGTGATATTTAATAAATGAGGTAAACACACAAAACGTTAATGATAAAAAGACAACAAAAAATTTGTATAAGAAAAGTGAACATTGACGTGATTAACTGGAAAATGACTAAAACCAAAAATAGTAAAATGTATGCTAAAATTTAACGCTGCATTGGGAATTCTAAACGCTGCTTTTAAAATTTTTGCAATTTTGCTGTTAAATTGTATATGGCGTTTAAGGGCGAAGAAAATGATGCTTAGTAATAAAGCTAAAAAGCCAAAAAATGGGTTAGTAGAAGTAAATGTAACAGCAGGATGGTAGACTGCGATCTAAGCGAGAGTGTAAAAAACCTTGACAAGCCCTTTCGTTCAGATTTTTCCCCCTTCTTTTTTTTGGGGGGGGGGGAGTTACGAATACTGTCTTCTAATATTTTTGAATAACTAATTATAATAACAGATCTTTACCTGGTTTAAGATTAAAACCTTTACTGTCGTAAGTGTAGTTTCCTATTCATAAAAAAATCTGATGTGTACACCACATGACTTCCTTGTACGGAATATTAAATTATACGCATTTTTTCTTGCATTTAATTTAAACGTATTGGATTGAATTAAATCTACTTCGCCGACAGCGCATAAACCACAATAGAACAAATGTATTCTTTAAAATTCATTATATTTGTTTATCATAGCGACATTCAGGCGCTAGGTTCACTTACCAGTATTATATTTCGTTCATATTATAAGTCAGAATGCACAAAATTTACATCATTATTATTATCCAATCGTTGCCACATGTTCTATTCAAATAATTCATATATATATCCAAAATAATACAGGCGATTGGGTATTTCTCATTGAATTAATTCAGTTCTCACTTCGCGACAAGGCAAAAATACATAAAAACTCAAAATATCTGCATTAAAAATTACGAAGTAAATCTTAAACACTTATTTCCTGGAAAAAATTCCAGAAAGGATTAAGCATGAATTATTGTAATAATAAATGAAGGCGTTCTCTTTGTTGTTACGAAGCTAAGTTTCTCTAGATTGGCAACAAATCCACTATCCTGCTGTTTCAAATGTAAACGAGCAATGGCCGCCATCAAGAAAAGTATTAGGCTTAGCGGCACTTAAACAACTTTAAAATTGTTGATAATTCTAAAAATACTGCATAGGGATTTACTAAAAGCATAAAAACCTTAACCGGAAGATAAAGAACAACACAATTCAATCATTTTTAGAGCAAAAAAATGTACAATTTACAAACATGTAAGAGTAAAGAAACTGAGATCACTGAGCTGGGTAACAGAGTGGATATAGTATACATAAATATATTTATATACGTTTTGCGCGGTCGATTGCAACTAAAATACGAGGTGCACATCTACATATTATAGTAGTCCTATATACAAAATTTCAACGTTCTGAGGTTACTCATTTTTGAATTATGCGAGATACGTAAGTTCGTACCGACGCCACGAGAAATTCTTTTCAGAATTCCTTTTAAAGCAGTTTTATAATTTTTTCGGAGGAAAAAGAGTCTTTAATTCTGGGTGCTACTTTGGTAGACGGTTGCACGGATTTTTGGCGATTTACGTTGGCGCAATTGTTGGCGCGATTTTTACAATCGTCAGCCATCTTGAAAAACGCTGTTTTTTACGCATTCGGAACTTAAAAAAAAAAAAATAAATATCGTTAAAAGTAATGGATAATTTTTTGTTGAAAATGTTTTTTAAGATGGCAAGCAAGTTGTAAATAAAATACATTTACTATGAGTATAAATATAAAGTAAGGCTATTATTACTTTCATATAGCGAAAAAGAATAAAAACACCGCTATAAAAACATTGTGCCAACGTTAATTAGATTAAAATATTACTGAAATTGAATATCGAATTAAAACCATCCTACCAACATTTAAAAAATTAGAATATTATTAACTTCAAATACTTTAAAATACGTTATATAAAATATAATTCACATTAAACATATGTGACAATAATTATCTCAGCAATTTTGAAAATAGTGTATTAATTTTTTAACAAAAAATTGAAGTATACAAATTATAAATAAAAGAAAAATATGTACTTACATTTTTGAGTAATTAACCTTGTTTATTAATAAGTACACAAAAAAATCGAAATCAGAATTGATCGGCTCTTTTAAACCATCTTCATCTGTTATCCACATATCTCACACTTCACTGAAAGAACATTAGCGAGGTTTCCTCAAAAAATTTAAAATAAATTTCCTCTGATGCTATTAACAATTTATAAAAAATCTTTGATTAGGAAAGACAGGTTGGCCAAAATAAGGTCTCAAAGGGCAATTTTTTTTATTCCAATACCAATAATTCTTGGTATTACCCAATAACAACATTCATCTTCGGAAACGAAGATATTCATTCCATTTGAAATCTGACGAATTCGAAGAGATGAATAATAAATTTAAAATGGCGCGGTAATGCACAAATATAGTAACCATCAGGGAGCTGATTACATCACGCATTAGATTAAAATTATTTAAATAATCATTCATAATAAATCATTTTTTAAAACAAATGCAAAATTAAATTGTATTTAAGTATTTAACAGCCATAAATAATGTTTAAAACATTAGATTAAATTTATAATTAAAACCAATTACATTTAAAGTAAGGTGATGTCATTGATTACATCATCCACAACATAAAATATTATAAACAATAATTTTAATAAAATTTTTATTTCAAATAAAAATGCAAAATTAAATTGATTTAATATTTAGAAGCCATAAATAATATTTAAAACACAGAGTTATGCAGAATAAAACGCATTATTTTTTTAATAAAATGACAACAAAGTATCGGTTACCATAAATAACTTATCCAGCAATGGGTTTACTTTCGTATAGCGAAAAATGGGTTTACCATAAGTTGTATTACTCGCCAAAAGAAAAATCGCCAAACAATCGCCAAAATCCGTGCAACCGTCTACCAAAGTAGCACCGAATCTTGTCCTTACGTACAGATATCACGTAAAAACATCGTTAAATTGCATTCGAAAGCGGTCAAAATGGATATTTTCGTTGAAATATGCTGCCTGAAACTTTTCGCGATTACAATACTTCCTTTTTACTTCGTACAAGGAAGTAAAAAGTATTTATCGAATACTGTGGATGAATACTGTGGCCCTTTTAACCCTAATTTTGAGGCAAATGGATCTTAACTATAAATAGGACCGATCAGTTTAAAAAAGGAGGACTTTGCAGTAGGAATTGGTAAGCTAATTTCACTTCTCACAGTATATGAACAGTCTATTTATGAAAAAAACATTTACCATGCACAGGTTCCTTGCATTCAGGATAGGCAGCAGAATGAAAAGGACGACAGTCTGTGCAAGTTATTTCCTTTGGACCCGTCAGACGGTAATAGCCAATTTCTTTGCAGTGAAATTTTACCGTGCAGTTGGACTTTACGTGATTTCCATTCTGTAATAGTTCATTTCCGGCATAAGCTACCAAGTTCTTATCCGGACTGTTATACTTGCAGGAGCAACGTTCTGCCACATTATTATTTTCAGCGACGGACACTGTGTGAGGCTGGTCTACTTCCTTACCGTCGGTGCTGGAACTAGTTGGTGGTTGCGTTGTCGTCTTCGAAAGCTTTAGATTAGTCTCCGTAGATGATACCTCAGCTACGGCGACTGTCTTCGGCGCTGATGGTTTTAATGTCGAAACAGCTGTCACAACTGCTTCCACATATGGCATGCCATCTGTGGGAAAAAAATCTTTTATTATACTCCAAAATCAAATATCCTGAACAGAAATGTTCACAAGTATACAATACTACAGGGTAATCCAAAATTAGCGCATATCAAACTTTCAAAAAGTGGGGAAATTTTGAAATATCAATTGCAGAGATAAACTTTTATTCAACCTTAAATGCACGTGCTCTTGTATGTTTACTTTTCCGGTGTAACTTTCTTTTAAAATTTGTCACGCGCTGCATTCCACGGGAAATAAAACAATCTTAATAATAATTCTACTAAAAATATAACTAAATACAAAATTCGTAATACTGCCCCCTTCCCAAGGACTGCACGTCCCGGGAAGTACAGTCCCTGGACAGAAGGCCATACTTAACCTAAAGCATCAATTCAATAATACACATTCCTTTAAAATAACAAACAACATAAACAATAATTGAAATAAGTAACATAAAACAAATCAAATACTAAATCAATTAATGAGTGCACAAATTTACAAATTTAGAAACAAAAAGGACCATGGTCTTGTACATTTTACATTATATACACTAGGTACTATGCCCACAGTGAGGAGCTAATCTATCGTAATGAACAACTTTAGGCTTAGAGTTCGATGACTTACGGATCCGAACCACGACGTCGTACAACCTGTTTTGTACTGTATGTGGGCCATCTCAAGGTGACTGTAGTTTAAGATTGAGTCCTTTCCGTCGAGTCGGATTCCACAATTCCACCTTGTCTCCTTCGTTGAGTCGTTGTCCAGAAGCTCTCGCGTCGTATCTGGTCTTCATCTTCTCCGTCACCAAGTTGACTCGCTATCGTGCAAGCTTGTGCATCGCTTCAAACGGGTGCTGGAGATCTTGGATGTACTCCTCAAGCGATGAAGGCGCATCTGGAGGGCGTCCAAACAAAAGATCACAAGGCAGACGAAGATCACGACCAACATCTGAGATGGGGAATAGCCGGTAGTCTCGTGGACAGCACTACGGTAAGCCAGTAAAAAGAGAGGTAACTTCTTGTCCCAGTCCAGTTGATTTCTGGAAACCACCAACGGAAGCTTATTAAGGATGGTTCGATTAAACCTCTCTACCATGCCGTTTGACTGGGAATGTAATGGCGTCGTTTGGGTTTTGTCAAAGCCAAATAGCTTGCAGAGTTCTTTGATTACAGCTGAGGTAAAATTCCTTCCTTGATCGGAATTGACTAAAGATGGACTCGGAACCTGGAAATCCAGTGTTGTATCGTTCCCTCTGCTATCGTCACAGTCCCGTGATAAAGAATAGGATACGCTTCAGGCCACTTGGTGAAGTAATCAATGACAAGAAGGATGTATTTTTTGCCATCAGCAGTTCGTGGCAGAGGTCCCAAGATGTCAAACGCGATACGTTCAAAAGGCGCTCCTATGTTGTAACATTGCAGCTTGCCTTGACTGCGTTTCTTTGGTCCTTTCCGATCCGCACAGTTATCGCAGGATCGGCACCACTTTTGCACGTCATCATTTGCATTATTCCAGTAAAAGCGCTCACGAACTCTCTGTAAGGTCTTCATTATTCCAAAGTGACCTCCCCTAGGGCTGTTATGTAGTTCTTTAAGGACATCAGGAATGCGGGATCTTGGAAGTATCAGCTGCCATCGGAACGTCTTTCCCATCATCCGGATTCGAATTTCCGGTATAAAAACGCCGTTTCGAATGTGAGTGAATCCCAGAGTGCCCAATATTGTTTTGTTGTAGGACTACTGTAGATAGAAATGTCCTGCCAGGTAGGTTTTCTGTTTGATGACTGACTCCATTAAATCAATTATGGGTTTAATGTCACGGTCTTCCAGCTGGTCTTTCCTGACTTCATCATCACTCCACGGGTTCTCGATCAGCCGATGTTGATGTTGTAATTTGTCTTGCGACCGGAGTCAGCAGCTCGTATTTCGCTTCCACCCTGGAACAATATCGGCAGCTTTCTGGGCAAGGTCTTCTAGACAGGGCGTCGGCGTTTCCCGTGTGATGATCCCTTACGATGACGGATAGTGATGTCATATTCTTGGAGTCTCTGTATCCACCTGGCTATTTGACCCTCAGGATTCTTGAAATTTAAAAGCCAGGTCAATGATGATGCATGATCCGTGCGGAGGAGGAATTTTCTGCCGTATAGATAATGATGGAAATGTTCTACAGCTTTGACTATGGCGAGCAAACTCTTTCCTGGTGACACAGTAATTCCTCTCCGGTTTAGACAGGCACTTGCTCCAGTACGCTACTACACGTTCTTGGCCGTCTATTTCTTGGGACAAAACCGCACCGACACTTCATTGCTCGCGTCCGTGTCGAGAATAAATGGTCTGTCGAGCTGAGGATACGTCAGGATTGGAGCAGATGTTAAAGCCTTCCTTTAAGTTGTTAAATGCATCCTCGCATTCTTTTTTTCCCACAAGAACGTTTGCTTGCTCTCTGTCAGCTTGTGAAGGGGTCTTGCGATGGAAAGAAAAGTCCTTCACGAATCTCCTATAGTAGGTGCAAAGCCCTAGGAAGCTTCTCAGCTGATGGACATTTTCGGGACGTTTCCAGGATTTAACCGCTGATATCTTTTTCAGGATCCGTGCGTACACACTTTCTGCAGAGATGACATGTCCCAAGTAAGTCACTTCCTTTCGGAACAATTTGCATTTAGCGGGACTCAGCTTCAGATTGGCTTCTTTTCAGTTCTAAATCTTCAAAACTCTTTCCGACGATGATGATGTCGTCCAGGTATATCAGGCAGGCTTCGTAGGAAAGGCCTTTCAAAACAGTCTCCATAAGACGTTCGAATGTTGCCGGCGCATTACACAGTCCAAACGGCATCGCCTTGAATTGCCAAAGCCCTTGTCCCGTAGTAAATGCCGTCTTTTCTCGGTCATCAGGGTGTATTTCTACCTGCCAATACCCACTCTTTAAATCAAGTGTTGAGAACCACTTGCTTCCAGAAAGAGTGTCCAAAATGTCGTCAATTCTAGGAAGAGGGTAACTGTCTTTCTTCGTAACCTCATTCAACCGGCGATAGTCAACGCAAAATCTTGTTGAGCCGTCTTTCTTTCTGACAAGAACGATGGAGATGCCCCTGGACTTGCTGAAGGCTCGATGACATCGCTTTCTTCCATATCCTTTAAAAGTGTTTCGTACCTCTTCCTGTTTAGCAATCGGTAGACGTCTTGGATGTTGCTTGATTGGAGAATAATCGTCGGTATCGATTCGATGTTGCGTCAAACTGGTTCGACCTACGTCATAAGACGAGCGGGAGAAAACATCTTGAAGATCTTGAATGACACATTCAGCAGCATTTCTCTCCTTATCGTTTAATTGCACATTCTGCAATAACTCAGATGTAATATTCCCTTGAAGACACGGATTCTGGGAGGTTACTGTTTCTTTCAACGCTGGTTACTGGAGTACATGCTGCAACCACTGCACCTTTCTTTATAACTCTCGCCTTCTCAGTTGCATTGGCAACTCTCACCGGGATATTCTATAATGCCGTAGCAGAAATTTCTATTTTCGGCTATGGATTCGGGATTTAAAATTTCTGTTCTTCTGGGTATTGTGATATCGTCTTGAGCTATGATTTTGTAAATAGATTTCACGCCTTCTTCATTAATTCCGAATAGGGCTATGCCCTCAGAGGTAAAATGCAGTTCGTTAGTTTTTAAAGTTCAAGGAAAAAATTGTACTTCCTTAGAAAGTCCAAGAGTGCTTTATGCGATATGATTTATTTTGCGATGTAATTTCAAAGCAACATTTTGTTTTCACCATTATTTACTACAGTGTTATGTTTGACAGTAGGACTGACGTTTACAGTAACAACGATCACTTTATAGTGTTCTAGCTAAATTAAAGTTATTTGACTGCTAGAACCTAGTAGAAATCTGAAGCGATTATTCGCTAAATTCTGTTGTGTCAGTAACAATTCAGAAAAAGGGTTAAAAAACCTTTTCATTTTAACGCAAATATATTCACAGATAACACCACGTGGTCGTACAAATAGCCACATTTGTGGCTTAAACCTAATCCTAAGTTTAATAACCAGCCGAAGCTCTACAGATATATTTAACACGCAGTCGACTCTTGGCTAATATCACCGACGTAGATTAATAGGCAATTAATAAGCATGGTCGTAAAACAGCAGGCTTTAACTACTAGTTGCGAACAATGTGGCCGAAAGGCAGAACGCGCTCTGTGTGAAATAAACCTCAGCTTAAATAGTAGCTTTTTACCCTACTTCGCCTAATGCGCGAAACTGAAATCTCCTTCTGCTAAGAAAGCGTAGGTTAGTGTGTGGTGTAGTGTGGTGTGGTGTGGTGTATTTAATTACGGCAAAGCACACTAGGGCTATCTGCATAAAGCGAGGGATGCCTTCGTGGAGGACTTTCTAAGGGAAACTGGCTCGTATACACGTTACACATAAAGCGTAGGTTGGAAAATGAGAATTTAAAGGAAAGGCTGTTTCCAAAATAAAACTAACCGTTAGAAAAATAAAATAAGACGCCACAACTCTACTAGTTTCTTCGTCACGAGAAAAAGCTGTGACTAGGCTGCGAGGTAACATGTTTTCTTTTGTGAAAAATATGTTTAAAATTTATTTACTGACAATTATTTTCGAGCTATCAATAGACCGAGTTTTTTAATGTATTTTGTTTATTAGTGTATTTTTAGTGTACTTTTTAGTGTATTTAGTACGACCATAAAAGATACTACATCATTCTTCTCAAGATGTGGTGTGGTGTATTTAATTATGGCAAAGCACACTAGGGCTATCTGCCTAAGGAGAGGGATGCCTTTCGTGGACGACTTTCTAAGGGAAACTGGCTCGTATACACCATTCTTCTCAAAAAACAGGCATCTTACTGAATAACTGAATACGCGAAATTGGTTCCGAAATTAAACTATATATCAGAGGTGGCCAAATTTCGTGGGCTCACCAGCAGCCGAGCGGTAAAGTCGCTGAACACTGGTAGTTCGGTCCGAGGTTGGAATCCCGCGA